TCATAACGGCAAAATTATTTTCTGTAAATAACTCAATTAATTATTATAAATATGTTTTCGTTTTTATGCTATGCTTCGGATGAGCAGTTATGCATATATGCACAATAAAAAAGTACCACTCTTTTTTAAATAAATCTTTTTCCGTAAGATAAAATTGAGAAACCATTAAAAATAAAAAAACGCATTTACAATTTTTTAACTCGTTTTTTAGATGTATCAAAGAACCCTGTGAACAAAAACGTCATATAATTTTGGCTTTTTTCCTTTATATTTGTCGGCTATAAGCAGTTTATGTTTAAACAGAGTAGAACCAAATTTGCAATAAAAAATCTTCGAAATTGAGTTGTCTTTACGGGAAACGAAAATTTTTTAGTTTGACTTCGACTTTGATTTTATGGATTTCTCCTAAAGTTTTATTTAGCCAACCTCAAGAACCACTCCATATAAACATTTAAAATTTGGCATATTTTAATGCTGTAGAAACACTAATTAAAATTTAGATCTGACAAAATTTTGAAATTTCTTTGGTGTCTTTTCAAATTTGTGCATTTTAGAAGTCCTAATTTTTTAAAATATTTTGCCAACTTTTGACAAAATGTTTGAAATTATTTAGATGTCCTTAGTTAGCAAAATCATAAATTTTTAAATATCATATAAAATAAAAAAAATATGGAAATTAAAAGACTTTCAAATTGGCAGGAAAATTTAATTCATAATACTCATACAGTTAGCCTAGAAAATTGTCAAAAAAATTAATTAATTTATTTAGTAAATAATGATCATGATTAGATTAGATTTGAAAGGAGTTGGACATTATTTGTCCTTTTTAACCGTGACCTATTGTAAGGCTCCGTTTTTTTAGATGATGTCTAGCTAGATCTCTTTTATTAGATTTAGTAGCTTTGACATGTAGTCCCATGCCTCTAGCTTTTCTTAGCCTAATGTTATAAACCTCAATCCAGCCAAGGTTTCACACTGGTACAGGATGTGGATTGATGTTTTCTCTTCTTCTTCACACAACCTGCACTCATATGCCTTTTTAGGCGACAGTGTCCGGTAAGAATACCTACTGTTATCATACAGATTTGACGTTTTTGATCCAGTAGGTCTTTCATGAACTTGGCTGATGGTCCCTTGATGAACTATTTGACCTGTCTCACCATTCCTGAGACACTTTTTGCATCCATTGGTTGATGGATGCCTTGCACAATGCCTTAGCAACCCCACAATATCTGGGGCCTGTCATAGCCTTATTTGAGCCTTCTCGGGCTAATTAGTCGGCCTTTTCGTTGCCTTGATATCCCTCGTGGCCTGGCACCCAGGCTAGGGTCACCTCATTTTAACTACTTAGCTCTGCCAGGGCGTCTAGGCATCTCTCACCAGTCGTGATTTGATTTCTGATGACAGAATGGAAATGCCAATTTTATCTACCCATGTTTTTATTAATACATTGAATTAGGTCAATAGAAAATGTATTTTAAACAAATCAATGTACTTACTTATGGTAAATATTATTATTATTTTAAGCAGAAGCCCTCGAGTTGAATTGGCCACTTTAAAAAAGAATTGCAGAAAGCAGCTGATTCCCAAATATTAGGTAATAAATACAGATATGTATGTTTCCCTTCATTTTCTAATTTACTTTTGACATTTTATTTATATTGAAAAAATAAAGGTGTTCACAAACATTAGCCCTCTGGTAATTTTACCAAAATACATTTAATTATTATATACTCATTGAACCACTTTATGTAATATATTGAAAAACGTTTTTTACTAGCTTTTTAATGATATATGACCAGTAGAAGTAGGTGGGGTGCATAGGAGGTTGATGTAGGTGAGTTTTGTATTGTCATTTAAATTCCCCCTTAATATCCTAGAAACGGTCTTATATCATTTTTAATTCATGATATATTGCCATTGTAAGTTTTTAAATGCTCACCCTCAGAGCTCTGCAGAGTACTGCATTAAAGTACTCACGAGTGCTTCACAATGAGTAGCTTTGCAAAGTCATAACTATCTGAGTATGAGTACTTATATGAATAATGCTCTAAGTAAATGAGTACTTTAGCAAATTTTATAGAGTAAGGAGTATGAGTATTTTAAATAATTCAAATTAGTGACTCAAGATTAGAAAGAATGGATTATAGTAATTCATAATAGCATGTCAATAAGTAACAAATAAAAACGATCGTATCACTTATCTTCTATCAATTAGTTAGTACTTGCCATTAACGTGTATGCCTAACTTTTGCATGTTAATGTTTAAGTAAAGTAATAAGGGTATTAGATAGAGGTCCCTACAGGTACAAAATACTTGAGAAAAAACAGTATATATTTTAAAACTGTATATACATCAATGGTGTAACACTACTAAAAAGAAATATAAAATTTAATTAAGAAAAAATAATGAAATATGAACCAGTAAGTCAGTTTCATTTGGTTATTTAAATGATTTATAGGTACAGCTTGAGTAACAAAAACAACAACTAGCTAAAAGTAATTCTTCAACAGAACTAAGTCTTCAAAATTCATGTCACTCAGGGTATTACACTGGAGTATCTATTATCTTTGCATACAAGAATAATCTTTTAACCAGTGCAGACAAAGGTAATGGTGTATTTGTATAGGTATAAAAATATAAAATATTAATAGTAATATGCAGTTCTGTGAGTAAGACAACAAACAAAAAAACTGAGGCTTGCTTGGGCCTGTGTACACATTGGTATACATACTTATTAGCTATAGCAGTTAGAAACAATGAGTACTCTAAAATGAAACATACTCGAAATTTTTTCAAGTACTGTCCCATCAGGATGAAAGTACTCACTAGTACCCATTAGTGAGTACTTTGGGTACTCAAGTACAATTTACTCTAGTACTGCCCAGTTCTGCTCACCTCATATATATCTGACCAGAACCTCCCTTAGTTAACTCTAGTTGATGAGACAAGGCATTTTCAAATATTAGATAAAAATGTATTGTTGAAAGACCTTAATTTATTGGACTAGAAATATTGGTTTACTGAAGCACCTATTTATATAGTTAGGCTGAGGTATATTGTTTTTAAGAGGTTATCAGTATTAATCTAAATGCCTCTTCAGTTAAATACAACTATGTAGTTCTCGTTTGGAATTTGTAATTTTAAGTGATAAAATTAATTAAGCAAATTATAATGGAATTTATATAGAAACGATTAAAATTTAACAAAGAAAAATGTATTTGAACATTTAACTTACGTACGTATATTAACTGTTGGTTAAATACAACTTATAACTCCGAATATACTAAATAAATCATATGAAACACTTACCTAAGACATGGAAATTGATTTGTTGTGAATGTGAATTAAATGGAAATTGATTTCGACGTATGGTTGTTATGGTAACTGCCAGTTTTATGTCAATGTCAATTGATGACACTGATGCGTTCGGGCCGACAACTTGGAGTAGAATTAACGCAAGAGTACAATTTGGTCACATGGCATCATAGTCAATTGGCGATTCAAATTAATTTTCGCGCGCCTGTCATTTGTCATCTATAAGTAGGATGTTTGTTTATTTACATGTTTTTGTTTTGGACGGATTTTGTATTTGTGATTTTTTTAACTGTTTTTAGATAATATTCTCATTGTAATAGTGTTTTTGAGTTTCATTTAGTGTTAATTTAAGTTTAAGTCTCGTGCTTTCGTCATAAATATAATATTTATCATGTGTATGACTTAATTTGTTGGAAATATTTACCTATTGGTTACCTACTACAAGAACATCTAGAAATATGTATTCACTAAACCCAGGACATGTTGTATTATGTGGTTTAAAGGACATTTCAGGTACCACACGTTTATTATTGATGAACTTATTTAAAAATCTTACTCGACTTATTCTTATATTATGAAGTGAATCATGTAGTACTTTGTATACATGTAAATGGTAATAAAACCGTCAAAAAATAAGATTTCAGTTTGATTCTAAACAAAGTTTCGTAAAATTTCAATATTGTGAATTTGTAGATATCCATTTATCGTAAAAAACAAAATTTTACGACTTGTACTTGGAAAATAATGAATCTTCAGTTTTGATTTTGACATTAACACCATATAGATTGCAATTTTCTGGGGACTTCGTCACAGATTTCATTTTTATAATATAAACACTATCACATGCTATAAGAAAAAAACAAATTTAAAGCTAAAAAGTAAAAAAAAACTATTTGTAATTGATACAAATTAAAATGTAAACAATGAACATGAACGCCAATGTTGCCAAATGATGAACTGATTTTAAAACAAAATTAATAAATGAACTGAAATTTAAAAAAAATCAATATAATAAATCGGTTTTATAAAAAAATCCTTAAATAAATATAGATTATCATAACATACACAAATTTTGATTCTTAAATAAAAGGTTTTATCCACTTCTTCCAGAGCTAAAATCCGACGACGTAGCGAAGTTTTGCTACTTCTGGCAACACTGAACGATATCCTACTTATTCGGACCTTCTACAAATTTCCTCCAGAGGGCGTATCACTTAGCTTGAATCGCGAATAGAGCACCTCAAGTCTATTGACATATTGACAAGCATTCTACCCCGCTCCAGTTCATTGGACTTACCCAAGTCCGACTCGTGTAAGTTCTGTTTATAAATACTGGCCTTAGAACCAATATAAACTGAAGTTGGGTAGAAAGCCAATGTGCATATTGTATCAATAGAACAAGATGCGACTCTATGGGTGCAGCCATTTTTATTTCTCATCTCACTCGGGAGTATCTATAATAACCATCATCTGTTTCACATTGTTATGTTGTTATTGTTCAATCCACAAGCTGGTGGATCAGACAATAACAAAGTGAAATAGAAAATAGTTGTTATTAATACTCCCGAGTGAGATGAAAAATAACCTGTCTTCGCCCATAGAGTCGCATCTCAAGCCTATTGACAAGCATTCTACCCCACTCCAGTTCATTGCTTAGAACAAGCGTTCCGTGCTTAGAACCGATCGGACCACATCGGACGAACTCCACACGAACTGACATAAGCATAGATAAATTAATTTAATTTATCTATGCCATGGACATAAGTTTAAATTTGACATTGACATTAGTGTATGTTTATATTTTTGGAATATTTATTTCCCGGTTAATTTTAGAAGGCAAGATGAAGAATCTTATCTTTGATTTTTTGTCGTGAAAAGTTATGGAAAAAAATAACAATGGAACGCGTTCATTCCTCAAGCATTGATTCCGAATTTGATCTCTACATAAAAACAAACATCAATTATGTTATTTCAGAAACATGGAATTTACGAGATACACGGGATGAAATTTTTAGATCGCGTGAATTACTAAAGACTATTGAGGTAAATGACTAAGTTTTAACATTAGTTGAAATATGAATCATGGTATATAAATAAATTAAAAATAAAAAACTTTTGGACACAAGAAATTCACGATTTACATTCCTAAGCTTTAAACGTTTTTAATTTTGGTGAGAGGGATTTGCAATTCCTGTATATTGCAATGACCTATTGTACTTCATTGTGTCTTGTTAGTATTTTAAACTCAAAAACCACACGGTTACAAAGTAGCAAAGTTAAAAATAATATGTATGTGTTATAATTAACTTTAAAAACATTTTTAGGATAACTTATTTCCAAATAATTACAAGTCTTTAGCTTTGGAAAATGCAAAATTCATTTTTGATATTATGATTGAAGATTTTGCAAGGTGGACAATAAAGAAAGCAATTTTGAATATCTTTGATAACTGTCTTGATAATATGACCGAACTTGAGAGATATAATGTATCAAAGAATCTATTGAGAAGAAAAACCGACTTATATTACCTGTAAGTTTATTTTTTTTTATATATTTTACAGTGTTTATAAGAAAGCCCAAATGTTTCTCTGTTGCTCGAGCTGTTGCCTAAAAGAATAAATGTAATTTTTTTATTTGACATATTGAAAAAATGTAATTATGTGTACTGGTGATTTTTGTCACTGAATATCGTCAATTAAATTATATAGGATTTCTAGGCTTTGCATACCACAAAGTTACTGTAGGTAACTCCAAAACAATTTGAAATTTTTTTGCTACAAAAATTTTCTCCATTAAAAAGTTTCTCAAGAATGTAACAATTTGGAATATGTATGTCAAATTATTGGTTAAGCCACTATTAAAAGAAAAGGGCCATTTTTTTAACAGATCTAAGATTAGGATCAAATTCTATAAAATATTCTTCTATTATATCTTCTATTTAACCGAGATAATTTATTCCTGAATTTACATTTTAATTTTTAATAGTTTAGCCTCTACAGCTGACAAATTTTCCATTCTTCTTTCATTGGGACAATTGCTATACTTAAGTACCTATAAATTATCCAACTTGCATACTGATTGAAAGATTGTGAAGTAAAAAAAATCCACATTATATTATAATAACACTGCATAGATATTTACATTTATGACATATTATTCTGTGTCTGGTCACTGCCACAGATGTATTTTAAAAAAATATTTCACAAAAAATTAAATTTTACTTATTTCTATTTCAATTAATTGATGCAAACTTTTAGTTACAAACTTATAGATCTCTTAGGCGTTTATGGTGATTATGATTTTCAAGTTTTAATAATTAAAATAATATTTAGAACATTCGAGACACATAAGTATGAGATTACCGAGCTTATTCCTGAATCAGAAGATCTTCAAAATAAATTTTTAGAGATAACTATGGAAAATATTGATTGTTCTACTAGAACGTTTTTAAATGGTTTAAATCAAATAAGCCAAAAGATTTTCTCTGTAAAGTGTCAGACTATTAGACTTGGATCTATTGAATGTGTGGTAAGTACCTTCCAAGCTATCAAGAGTTAATTTTATTTTCGAATATACATAGTTAAAATTTGTGTATATCAATACCGGATTGTTCTATAGGTTTTTGGCTAGCTAATATCTGACAAGATGAAATAAAAAATGGTGTCTAGGGGATAAAAAATGTTTTTTAGCTTGAATTCAAATAAATCAGCACCTTAAGAACATATTGATTAAATTTGGGTTACCTAATGAAATAATTTCTATAGTCAGTCGTTTTTTACAATTTTCACCATTAAAGTCTTAAAAAAATGTATGATAATATCACTGAAAGTTTTTTTTTTAATTTGCCATTCAAACTAGTCTCATGGAGTAACCATTAATTTTGTTCTGAAACAATATTAAACTACTTAAGTACCTATCAACTAAAGTCAATCCACTGATTTCATTAGATTGTTCTTGTTGAATTACATTCAACAAGTTGCATTCATTGTTACGCTCAATATTGCATTAAATATACACCAGGCCTTCATTCTCGATTTTTTTTTACTACTGGAGACGTGTCTGTAAGCAGCACTGCCTTGGTCGATAAGAAAGGTCTCCCAACAAATAACTACGTCACAAGCATCATTTACTTCTTGTCCACTTCTCATTGGTTACCGCCATACAACGCATCCACTTTCATTGGGTAGCGCCACAGGCGTTATGCACTTCCTACTGATTAACGCCAAGCGTTAAGCTTGCTTAGCAACTTCTCTCCCGCGCAGAATGAGATCATCATCAAACACAACACAGCGTTTTGTGGTGTTAAAAAGGCGACGCTTCGTCCGCCATCATGTAACATAACTCTTATACATTAAAAATGACTTAAGTAACAAATTTCCTAGAGAAATACTGTAAATAATGTAAAAAGTATTTAGTCTTAAGTGCAACATGTAGTGAAAAATATAATCATCCCATTAGATGAGGCTGAAGCTAGCAGACAAACTAGCAGACAAACCGCGCGGCGGTCCCTTTATGTTTTGATATTGTTATTCGGCAAAATCTTTGGTTTAGGTGGACTTTAGTATCATGAAAGTTTAGAAATAAATAAATATTAGTGTATTTATTGAAAAAAAGTATTAATTAAATTTGAATTATTAGTAAAAATAAGATAATCTTACACAAAGACGGGAACGAAACAACCACATTTAAAATGCGATTATAAATATAATTTTTATATCAAATATTCATTAGATTTTTATTAATTGATTAAACAAAAAATTATGGTTGAGCAATGTTTTAAAATATATTTTTTTGGTCTTTTTAAAGTCAGGTGTTTTGTTGTTAAACGAATATAAGAACAAAAAGACCAAAAAAACACATTTAGCACGAGATTACAAATACAATTTTTATACTAATAATTTAGTACACCACTAGCTATAAAACAAATAAAAAATCATTAAATAGCAAGGCATCTAAATATAGTTTTTAGATCATTAAAGTCAAGCGTTTCCGCGGATAAATATTACTCAATGAAACCAACAAAAACAATCATTTAACACGAGAATCTAAATACAATTTTTATACCAAAGATTCAATAAACAAGTATCAATAAAAAAAATAATAAATGATCAAATAGCAAGATCTCTAAATACATTTTTTAGGTCTTTAAAAAATGTAAGATTCCGCGGATAAACCTTATTTTATCAAAATGACAAAAACTAATATTTAGCACGAAAATCCAGGTACAATTTTTAGTATGAATGATTCAATACATTAGTATAATTCAAAAAAATAATAAATCATTACATAGCAAGACCTCCACATACGTTTTTTAGGTCTTTAAAATGGCGCGATTCCGCGGATAAACATAACTTTATCAAAATGATAAAAACCAATATTTAGCACGAAAATCCAGGTATAATTTTTAGTATGAATGATTCAATACATTAGTATAATCCAAAAAAATAATAAATCATTACATAGCAAGACCGCCAAATACGTTTTTTAGGTCACTAAAATGGCGCGATTCCGCGGAAAATCCAGGTATAATTTTTAGTATGAATGATTCAATACATTATTGAAATTCAAAAAAATAATAAATCATTACATAGCAAGATCTCCAACTATGTTTTTTAGGTCTTCTGAAAAGCGCGGTTCCGCGGAAAAACCTTACTTTATCAAAATGACAAAAACCAATATTTAGCACGAAAATCCAGGTATAATTTTTAGTATGAATGATTCAATACATTAGTATAATCCAAAAAAATAATAAATCATTACATACCAAGACCTCCAAATACGTTTTTTAGGTCTTTAAAATGGCGCGATTCCGCGGATATACTTTATTTTATCAAAATGACAAAAACCAATATTTAGCACGAAAATCCAGGTATAATTTTTAGTATGAATGATTCAATACATTATTATAATTCAAAAACATAATATATCATTGCATAATATGACCTGTATATACGTTTTTTAGGTCTTTTGAAAAGCGCGGTTCCGCGGAAAAATCTTACTTTATCAAAATGGCAAAAATCAATATTTAGCACAAAAATCCAGGTATAATTTTTAGTATGAATGATTCAATACATTAGTATAATTCAAAAAAATAGTAAATCATTACATAGCAAGACCTCCACATACGTTTTTTAGGTCTTTAAAATGGCGCGATTCCGCGGATAAACATAACTTTATCAAAATGACAAAAACCAATATTTAGCACGAAAATCGAGGTATAATTTTTAGTATGAATGATTCAATACATTATTATAATTCAAAAACATAATAAATCATTGCATAATATGACCTGTATATACGTTTTTTAGGTCTTTTGAAAAGCGCGGTTCTGCGGAAAAATCTTACTTTATCAAAATGGCAAAAATCAATATTTAGCACAAAAATCCAGGTATAATTTTTAGTATGAATGATTCAATACATTAGTATAATTCAAAAAAATAATAAATCATTACATAGCAAGACCTCCACATACGTTTTTAAGGTCTTTAAAATGGCGCGATTCCGCGGATAAACATAACTTTATCAAAATAATAAAAACCAATGTTTAGCACGAAAATCCAGATACAATTTTTAGTATGAATGATTCAATACATTAGTATAATTCAAAAAAATAGTAAATCATTACATAGCAAGACCTCCACATACGTTTTTTAGGTCTTTAAAATGGCGCGATTCCGCGGATAAACATAACTTTATCAAAATGACAAAAACCAATATTTAGCACGAAAATCGAGGTATAATTTTTAGTATGAATGATTCAATACATTAGTATAATCCCAGAAAATAATAAATCATTACATAGCAAGACCTCCACATACGGTTTTTAGGTCTTTAAAATGGCGCGATTCCGCGGATAACATAACTTTATCAAAAATTGTACCTGGATTTTCGTGCTAAATATTGGTTTTTATTATTTTGATAAAGTTATGTTTAAAATAAGGTTTATCCGCGGAATCTTACATTTTTTAAAGACCTAAAAAATGTATTTAGAGATCTTGCTATTTGATAATTTATTATTTTTTTTATTGATACTTGTTTATTGAATCTTTGGTGTAAAAAATGTATTTAGATTCTCGTGTTAAATGATTGTTTTTGTTGGTTTCATTGAGTAATATTTATCCGCGGAAACGCTTGACTTTAATGATCTAAAAACTATATTTAGATGCCTTGCTATTTAATGATTTTTTATTTGTTTTATAGCTAGTGGTGTACTAAATTATTGGTATAAAAATTGTATTTGTAATCTCGTACTAAATGTGTTTTTTTGGTCTTTTTATTCTTATAGTCGTTTAACGACAAAACACCTGACTTTAAAAAGACCAAAAAAATATATTTTAAAACATTGCTCGACCATAATTTTTTGTTTAATCAATTAATAAAAATCTAATGAATATTTGATATAAAAATTATATTTATAATCGCATTTTAAATGTGGTTGTTTCGTCCCCGTCTTTGTGTAAGATTATCTTATTTTTACTAATAATTCAAATTTAATTAATCCATTTTTTTTTTCAATAAATACACTAATATTTATTTATTTCTAAACTTTCATGATACTAAAGTCCACCTAAACCAAAGATTTTGCCGATTAACAATATCAAAACATAAAGGGACCGTCGCGCGGGTTGTCTGCTAGTTTGTCTGCTAGCTTCAGCCTCATTCCCATTAGTATTTAAAATAGTGTTTAATCAGAAGGTGATCTTCTAATCTAAGTTCTACTTCTTCCAGGCCTATGGATCGCACAGGTATTTTCAAACTTCATTATTAATACGGTTCACGATTTTGCCAAGGGCCGAATGTCGGTTCTAGTTTGTTTATTTATTTATAATTATACACGGGTAATACCCATTTAACCCGTTGACGACCACGTGGCACATATATGTGACAAGCAGTTTTTTCCAGGAACTGCTGTCACAAATGTGTGACAATGACCCTACATTTGCCGCGTTTGAAAATCCACATCGGATGCATTTTTTACATCTCGAGCGTTTTTTTATCCACATCGGACACATCTGTCCCATTACATTTACGTATACTGAATCACGTGATCAAAGATTTACTACATCTCAGATGCATCCGATGTGGATTCTCAAACGCGACAATTGATTAAAAGCAAATAACTCCCGGGCGGTTCAGCGGCGACAGATGTGTTTTGGCGTCAGTTTCTAGGCGTGTCTGGCACACACATGTGTCATATGGTTTTAGGATTGGATGGTTGATTCCAGTCATAACCTTAAATTCACGTGGCGGCTGTGGTTTATATCGTCTCCCAACTTGTGCAAATTTTTGTTGATTGTAGACACACAGAAAGGAGTATAACTTGGTATTCCTGTTTGCAATGTAAGGATAATAAAGGTAACTATTGGATTATGTCCGTCCCCATGTTTTGGCATGTGGCATAAAAGTCAAAAAATGAGAGTTTCTGCAAAGTCAGTGTTGCAATGTTTTTTTTTTTTAGTTTTTTTGTCTGTTTTTCATTTCTCACAATAATTATGTCTTGTAGTTTTTTTTTTATAGAAAGTTTTTCTCATTTTTTTGTAATATAAATAATTAAAAAATGTATCCTTAGTTTCATTTAGATGATAAAATATGTTATAATTTATCCAAAATAACACGTCACACTAATGAAATACTACTCGGAAACCGATGTCACATATATGTGACATTAAGTAAAAATACAAAAAATAGATAACAAAACACAAAAACCTATAAAAAAATACAATATTTCTGTCAAAAAGTTATGCCACTCAAAAAAAAACGCGGTTGGTTTCTAGCATCGTCAAATTTCATAATAGCGGTCGTGAACGTGTTAAAGTTTTACAAAATATGAAAATGAATTAAGTTATAAAAAAAATATATTTGTATAGTATATACAATAGTAGTAGTATTTATGCTGACTGCATTTTACATTTAATGGTATATAGGGACGTATTAAAGAAATCCACAGAATTTTTGTTTTTTTGTTTCCATTTTCCATTGAGCGGCAAATTGGAGAGAATCTTACATAATTAGTTTTGTGAAAAGGGATGGCAAATAATTCTGCGTTTCTCAAATTACGGGGTGGTACTCGAAAAGAAATCACAGACAGTAATTCCGGACATTTGATGAAATTATTAAGGGTCTTATGTATATCAATTGCATATCTTCGTTTGCCCAATTCTTGGATTTGCATACGTTGTCTTATTAGTGAAGCTGAAACATATTGTGATGGGATATGTAATTTAGAAGAAATATATTTCAAAAATCGATTTTGCACTCTTTCTAAGGCCGTTATATGGTTTTGATACAATGGACACTAAACAACTGCTGCATATTAAAAAATTGGCCGAACTAGGGTGAGATATAAATATTTTAAAGTATACATATTCACTATTACCAAGCCAGTCGTTAATTTCTTGTATATCACCAGTCATTTTAGTTTCCATAGTTTGTATCTCAAAATTTTGTATATAATTTTACATTTTTTTGCTATAATGAACTACAAACGGGTAAAGTCCACAAAAAATTTATTTACTTAAACTTAACCATTAAACATTTTTTCAATATTTAAAAATTTTACATTTAAAAACAGGAAAAGTACGAAAAGCATGCAAGAAAATAAAATACAATAAAATAAGAGACATAAGAAACAATTAAAATTTATTTTTTAATCTGGGAAAATGAGTTAAATCGCGTGTGTCTTCCTGTCACTTGAGGTTTTTGAAATTTTGTTGTACTTCCTCTTGTTGGGTTTTTAGTAGTAATAGTAGTTGTACAGTGGCCTTCTCCAAATTGGAAATTGGTTCCGTATTATCTACTGAGATTGGCGTATTTGGTAGACTGTTGCTTTTTGTATTTTCTTCCTCTGATTTTTCTAGATTTTCCGCTGTATAATCAATTTCGTTTACTACCAAAACTTTCCTCTTTTTTTTCTTCGCTGTTGCTAGGTAGGTACACGCTAAAGGGTACACAAATCAAAAAATTATATACACGCGAAACGTCATATTGCTGTGGTGGGAGGCGTTTGTGTGAATGCGTGTTTGTTTTCATTTACGCCGTAACTAGCAGCTAGCAGTAGTATTTTATAAACCTTAAAAGCAAATTTCACATACATGAACAAATAATAATAATAATAATAATAATAATAATAATGCCGTGACAACAAGAAAATGAAGCAACGAATTCTCGTAGGGAGGCGGTTTCGCCGCGACCAGAAAATTTCGATCCATACCTGGCTACGCCGACCGGTACGGACACAGCTCACCTACACTGTCAAGACGTTTCGCGTTTATATACTTTTCGAATTGCGAACAAGTTAACGTGTACCTAGACACTGTGTTTTTTCTTCTGTCAAATGCCTTCTGAGTATAGTTACCTCCTCCCTTTGTGATTCTGTAAGATCGTCTGATATAGCTATTCAGTGTTTTTTAGTTTCTAGCAATTTTGTAGAATATTTTTAAGCTATTGCATAGCTTTTATCGCGGGCTTTGAGTGCGGCGACCGAATCAAGAAATTCCGTAACGACCGTAACGAAAAAAAAAAACCTAACACCCCCACTCCGACCGGCACAGCGGTGCGGCGTTAAACAATATTAACTTCTCATTTATTCAATAAAAGAAAATAGAAAAATCGAAAAATCTTGCTTGCTTGTTTGGGGTTCTATGACTGCGGATTTTACATCCATTCGCCTATCTTTATCGTTTTTAGTCCTTATTTTGATTTTACAATGTTTTATTTTTGTGTAATTCCTACTAACTAAAATTTGTAATATAAGTAATCGAAAAATCGAAAAATCCAAAAATGCAAAAATCGAAAAATTGAAAAATCGAAAAGTCGCAAAATCGAAACAGAAATTCCGTAATGAAAATAAACCTAACACCCCCCACTCCGACCGGCACAGCGGTGCGGCGTTGAAAGCCGTGCATCTTCTAACGTCGTTTCAGTTCGGCAGACTTCGGCACGGTGTTTGTGTGCGTGCGACTAGACGTATGTGTGTCTTTTAGACACAATTTCGGAAAAATTGAATTTGAAAATGAATAATGATCCACAAGAATCCACAACAAAATATGGGACCATCATTGACGCGGTATTTTCCAGATATTTAGAGGATATCAAGTCTCAAACTTATGTTTCTTATTTCAGTTACCATAAACCTATAGTTTCAATGATAAAAATTCCTCAATAACCTACATGTATTGTAAGATAATAAAAATATTTTAAACAATATTAACTTCTCATTTATTCAATAAAAGAAAAAAAAATGTTTTCTTATCGGTCACCACGCTCAAAAAGTGTAACTTGAATTAATATCAAAGAAAAAACTTGAATTAATATCAAAGAAAAAAAATACTGCATAAATAAAATAAATAAATAAATAATTATAATTGCATAAGTTGATAAAAAATGCTATGCAATAGCTTTACCGCGGCAGTCCCCGAGTGCAACAAGTATTTTTTTCTTCTAGTTGTGACCATTTTTTTGTTTTCCTAGGCAGTAAATGTAATTAATATCAGATACTATCATGTCTACTTACAATAATCTTATAATTTCACCACTGATTAAGATCTAAGTCAAGAACATTTTGACCCCTGGAATATTCCGAATGGCATTCTGATGATACCAGAGTTCTTTATTTTTACGCCGTATTGAAAGGCGCAATAAAACATTAAATATATCAACACACGAAAAAAGTTTCGACCTAAGGCATCATCAGTTAGTCGAGAATAGCTCTTATTCCCATATACACCATATTGTATCATTTCAAATAATTCAGATATTAGCTGAGGCAACCTATGGGTCACCCGGTATATTATTACTATTTTTTTTATAGGGAAATAGTAGTGGTTTGTGGATTGATTTTAATTTGATTGATAAAATTGCTAGTTGGTATGTAAATATTCAAGCATTATTAAGTGAAAAAGGCGAAGAAATTAATAATAACATTAGCAACTTAATATTACTTTTTCAGCGAGATGTAGAAGTTGTAACAATTAAGAGGTAGATACTTGGTAAATAACATCAAACATGATTCCATTTTATCTTCTTTTGTAGAAATTTATGTAAAACTATTGTTGTAACATTTACATTGCACAATTCTTGTGTAAGTTACTCTGAAAATTATCAGCATATAATTGATGGCGCAAAGACATTAGATATTTTATTGGATTATTCACCAGAAGCAGAATATCTTGTTCGTAACATTTTTCCTACCATATACAGACATAAATTTATGGTAATAAATGATTTAATAATTTTCTTTCCACTATTAAAATCGTTTTGTTTCAGCACAAATTCAATAAAAGAAGAAAATTGTCACTGGTAAAAATGCCAAAATATGATTTTGCATGTAATTCGAGTTCTTCTAATTCTATATCAGATACGAATTCGATTTCAGAAACACTTATATATTGTGAGGACCAATTTAGAATGCAAAATACTATTTCAAATTCTACTGCATCAATAATTAATAAACATAACATTTTAAAGGATCGAGATTTGAATATTAAGATACTTTCATGTGATTCTGAAAAATACATCAAATCAAAAAATGATTTACTTGACTCCGAAGGAAATAATGAACATGATATTGATGAGATGGACGTTTTTTTTGAATCTGAGGAACAACTTTTATCAATGGCACGAGAATTTGATGTCTTAAGATCAGTTTTAAATAGTGACACCAACAAAAATAGTAGTATAAATATTAGTCAAATTAAGCCTCAAAAGCCACTTATAGAAAAAGCATCTAATACTGCATCTACTGGGCAAAATGTATTTACTATTTTTAATCGTTACAATAGGAATCAAAACGTATCAAGCCTTTCAAACACTCCAAAAATTACTAGTATTGCGAGTTCTGTATTTTTACCCAAGGTTCCAGTTACTACAAAAATAGGAAAAGGTGAAAAAGCCAAAAAAAGGTATGTTGTTAATTTAAAGCATACATTTATACTAATATATACTTATATATTTCTTATAGAAACAGACATACCTCTGTAGGCAGCATTAATAATGGAGATTCTTATAATTATGACCTTAGCAAAAGTAAATATTTTTCCGCGACAAAAATAAAATCCAATCAACTATTAAAATCAAAAGTTAAAAAAAACAATAAACACAAAGTAGAGAAATTCACCTGCACAGATGTTTCCGAGTATAAGCTTAATAGAAAAATTACAGAAAGAAACAATAAAATAAGTTTTCAATTTCGTAATAAGCTTTTAAAAGAAAAGCTAGACTGCATAAAAAATAATTATAAACCAATAAAGTCAATCCAGAAGAAAAATACAAAACAAGATTCTATTCGTGATGATTCAATTGCTTCTTCCGCAAAATATGAGAGTTCACCTGATAAGTGTAGAGCAATAGATGAAGACGTAGATTCAGTTATATCTTTTTCTTTATTTAGAAAAAATAAAAACCCTAAACCGATTGCAGATAGCTCTGATACAGAAGTTGGTGCTGTTGGACAAAATATTTTAAAACCTCATGTTAAAATGACTCGTCTTAATTTATCAAAAAATGCTTTAACAGATAACTTAAAAGATAAATCAATATCAGATCATGAAATTAGTAATAATATAAATATCGAAGATAAACCAAATAATTTATGTTACGAAGAATTGTCTGTCAAAAATATTGATATTCCATATTGTTCAGAATTAAAAACTAAAAATTTAGGAGGTATGTTTTAGTGTTGAGATATTCTATACGATTAATACAAATTAATATCAATTTTTAGCGAATCTACCATCAAGTGTATCTGTTTGGTCAAAAAGTACCGCAGTTGGAAATATACTGTGTTCGAAAGACTTTGTTGGAAAGTACTTACTTATAATTTGTTACCATATTGATAGGTATGTATATAGTCAGATACTTTACTATATTCATATTTTGCTTACATTGTCTCGTGCCTAGATTCTGATATGTAAAAACCAGGGTGACAATTATTGATTTGGTACAAACAGAGCTGGGTACTGCATTATTGTTCAATTTAAAAATAGTTTATTTATATAAAACAGTTTATTTACACCAATTATTAATTAATTTATTTAACAATTTATCTTAACTTGACAATATTTATATTGAAACTTAGGTTAAACGGCGAAATAATTCACTTATATATAAAATTGTAACAGTCTAGAAAGATCCAACACTGACTAGAAGTTCCATGCTAGTCTGGAAGTCCCTCGAAATTCTTCATCCATGCATCGGACTGCGAGATAAAACATTCTAGTTACTTTCTCGAGTCTTCGAGGTGGACGGGCAGCGAAAGCAGCACAGACATAACGGCAGTGACAGTGTAAATACCTTAGAGTATAGTAAATACAGACGAGACGGTGAGGCTTGTAGGGAGAAGTCCAGGTCTGGAGGCATATTTGGAAACCGCCGACACGTTAGATACTCGGATCTGCATATAGATTCCAAATCAGTGCGAAATGCGAAATCGAATCGCTTTCGATACTCGCAACCAAATACGATATCGAGAAATTTGGTATTCCTATTCGCTATCGATTTGCCCTGCGTTTTGGTCGATTCCGAAACTCGTAGTATTCGTAGCAAGCATGCGCAGTACGTGTTTTAATTGACAGTTGTCATATGTAAACAAATCAATGGTATTTGGTATTTATTTTTGTAAGTGTTTTTATTAGAAAGTAAATTATAATAACTATCCACGCAAGTATGCTACCAATTTTTAATAACCGAATACAACGAATAAGACACAGAGAGCAAAAAACAGAGCCCTCGTTTTACAAAGGCGTCTACTCAGGGACCACAGCATTCCATTTGAGCTTCCGGAAGAGCGCTTTATTGAATTGTACAGATTGAACAGAGAAGCCGCCAGGTATCTAATTGATACTATACAGCCCCACCTTGTAGAAAGAGTTTACAACAATTCTTTGCCAAATTTTATAAAGATTTTTGCTGCATTACTTTTTTATGCAACTGGGTCATACCAACGAGATATTGGACTTTTGTACAACATTAGTTTAAGCCAAACATCGATTTACCTCTTTCACTCTCTACAACCGCTACAAGGCTGAAACCACGTGCTATGCTATAACCTCAATAATCTACCGAAATCGGGCAATTCGGCACCATAGACCTGGCGAGTGACTCGCAATCGTTTTAGTCGATTCGAATATGATTTCCTGCAAATCGGAATTCACCAAACTGACGAAATCGAGTATTTCGATATCGAATTGTCAATGGGAATCTGCCTGCAGTTCGATATCGAAAATAACAGTCTCGTAAAATCCCGACGTGTTAAACTAATACGTCGGCGATTGGAATGCTCTGAAAAATTTAAATATCTATTCTAATAAAAGTGATGTGAATATACCGGAACACCTGAACAACTCTGACGAAATAAATGCATACTTCACCGACTCCGTTCTGAATTTAAAATGTGACATAGATCCTGTATTGATTAGTAACTACAAAGATCGACAATTTAAAGATATTAATGAATGTGAGTTACAAGTTGTTTTGGCTAATGATGTAATAAATGCAGTAAACATCATCAAATCCAATTCTGCAGGTTCTGATGGCATAACCCTAGGTATGTTAAAATTGTGTTTGCCATACATATTGCCTTATTTGATACATATCCTAAATTGTTGTATGAGTAATTGAATGCTATTTTCCAATAAATTGGAGAACTGCCTGTGTAGTCCCACTTCCAAAGCTGCAAACACCGAAAGACATTTCCGAACTAAGACCAATAAGTAAGCTGTCTGTATTGTCTAAGATTCTGAAAAAATTGGTATATTTCCAAATGGTAGAGTTTCTATCTATCAATAATATTTTCGCAGAAAATCAATCTGGCTTTAGAGCTGGACATAGCACAGTTACTGCCTTAACCAAAATGATAGATGATATATTGCAAGCCACCGATCAGGGAAAATTAACAACGTTGGTTTTATTAGACTTCAGTAAGGCGTTTGATACCCTGGGTAGAGAACTTCTGTTAGCTAAGCTTTATTATTATGGATTTTCAGATAGAACTATAAAGTTGTTAAAGAGTTACCTGTCCTACAGGTGTCAATACGTGTCGATTGAAAATGTTGAGTCAAGCTCGAGATTAGTAAATAAAGGTGTACCACAGGGCTCCATCCTTGGTCCTCTTATTTTTCTAATTTATACAATGGATTTAAGTAGCAATTCTGTTAACTGTAATATTGATCAATTTGCTGATGACACTTAAATCTATAGACAGATTTTAAATATAGAGGTAGGTACAGCCTGTGTGGATATAAATCAGACGTTATCAAACATATCTGACTCTTCACGGAAACATGGATTAAAACTCAACCCATCTAAGACACAAGCCATTTGTTTTGGTAATATAACAGAAACTCTGAGAAATAATCTAAATATATCAATTGACAATGTAAAAAGTCTAGGAGTTCACATTGACACCAAACTAAGATTTAAAACACATCTTAATCATGTTATTCAGAAGTCCTACTTTGCGTTAAAGAATCTATATCTATCTATCTATCTATCTATCTATCTATCTATCTATCTTCTATCTATCTATATCTATAATGTGTCATTATGAAAACAGCTTTGTGAGTCATTAGTGCTAAGTCATACTAACTATGCTGATATAGTTTATGGTCCATCCTTAGATGCTGACTCATCAGCAAGACTTCAACGAATCCAGAACTCATATAGCGCTGTGAAAATTTATAATTCACTTCCCCATAACATCAAATTCAAATCAGGTCATAAGTTCAAATCAGTTGAAAACTAAAAAAACTGTCAAGTCTCTTTTACTTATATGTTCTACGATGTTCAAATTAATAATCAATATTTAATTTTTAAACCTTTAATCCGAACACCTAATTGTCAGACCTTGTTTGGATTATCGAATTGTTCGGATTAACGAATATACAATAAAACACCTCTTACACATTTTTAGACCTTTATCTATGTATCTATATTGATTTTTGTACATTTAAATGCATTATCAAACTACATATGTATGTATATAAATGTAATGCAGGTCTTTTCTTGTCAGCGTTCGGATTACAGGGGCGGCGTTCGGACTATCTCGCATCACGATTTGCGTTCGGATTAGTGTAATTCGGATTAGCGTGGGTTCGGATTATCGAGGATGCACTGTATATTATTTTTTGTAAATGGTACTCGGTTAAGCTGAACAGCTCTGCTGGACTTAATAAAATAAAGACCTTTATTATTATTTACGAATACGAGTTATCTATGAATTTATGTACAATTATAGATATTTATTATTACGATATGTATATTAGTTAAATAGCACACTCATAATTAGGAAAATTAATTCAAATTCAAAAAGGTCAATTGTTAAAAAATGCAAATATATTTGAAACTATTATCGCATACATATTTTTAAATTTAAAAATTAACTTTTATTTTTTAGGAAAAGAAAATTTATTGTACCTAAATACTGATTTAGACTGCTTCTTTGCTTAAGTTTAATTTTTTGACTTATTTCCTCCTAATTCCACATTATTTTTAAATTTTAACATACGTCGCCAACGAATGAGGTGCTTTCGTAACTATATTTTTAACTAGTTTTCTTCAATTGTACATTGCCTTTCCTCCCATTGTTGTCTTTCTTCTTTTTCGTGTACCTTGAGTTCGTTTCCTTTTACACAATACTCCCTTATATTTAAAAGTTGTATCAATTTGAACTTATAACCGATTTTATTAATTTAAATCACCTATTATGGCACGAACAATAAATTATAAACTAAAATTGTTTCTATAGATACTAAAATGTATTTTTAAGGAGGTCCTTTCGCCACCAATGTTAAATAAAATATATTAGAATATGACTAAAATTAATTTTTTTCTAATAGTAGATGTCCTTATTTATCTAATAGTGAACTTTTAACTATACCTTACCGTGCAAATTTTTGAGAAATTTTTTTTTTTAAAATGTGCGTGTACAGTATGAGAAAGTAAGACTTCAACAACAATTTTCGAATTATAATTAATTTTACTATTATTTATTGATTAGATGGAGTAGAAAAAACTAAAAATAAGGTTTTTGAAATATTTAGGTTTTGTTTTTTACAATAAAATATATAGGTTACCGTGGAATTTATTGAGAAATTATTATTAAAAAATCACAAAAAATTTTCAACTAGGTTACTTGAAAATTTTTTGTGATTTTTTAATATTAATTTCTCAATAAGTTCCACGGTTTACTATATATATTTTATTGTATAAAACAAAATCTAAATATTTCAAAAACCTTATTTTTAGTTTTTTTTCCACTCCATCTAATCAATAAATAATAGTATAATTCGAGAATTGTTGTTGAGGACTTACTTTCTCGTGAGGCACTGTACAAATACTCACATTTAAAAAAAAGAATTCTCAAAAATTTGCGAGGTAAGGTATAGTTAAAAGTTCAGTATTAGATAAATAAGGACTTCAACTATTAGAAAAAAATGAATTTTAGTCATAATCTAATAACTTTTTTTTTAACATTTGAGGCGAGAGGTGTGGCGAAAGGACCTCCTTAATAAAAATAAAGACAAACTCTGGATGCGCCATTGATTGATGTGTCTGGTAAATAAACATTTCTTATTTCATAAATCGCCGACGTATTAATTCAAACACGTCAGTATTTTACGAGTTTGTCAATCGCGACATCGAAATCTTCCTAGTGCCTAACGTGTCGGCGGTTTCCGAATATGCGGCCCGGAGCAGCCCTCATACGACAGTACTCATGAGTAGTTTTATATAAGTATTTGAGTACTTTTGCAAATTTTAAAGAGTAACGTGTATGAGTATTTTAAATAATTCTTAATGCCTCAAGGTTAGAAAAAAGGAATTATAGTAATTAGACTATTAAACAGAAGTCAGTAAGTAACAAACAAAAACGAGAGTATAGTCTGTTGCAAAATAATCTACAAAGCGCAATGATCTGGCAACCTCTTGAATCGTTCGCCAACATGCTGATCAGAGCCGGCTTAGGTTGAGTGTTATTTGTTCAAATGTTAAAGATAATTTTTAAAATTTTATTTGTAGAAAGATCCTTTTGCGGTCTAAATTGCATTGAAAAAATATAACATTCATTTCAAAAATACTTTATTTACAATATGTAAATAGGATTTTTAATAACATTTAAAATACATAATAGTATATTATGGGAAGAGTTTCATTCCTGTCGTGAGATTGGTTAGATCACCGAGACGCGAAGCGTCGAGGTTAGCTATGATCTCGAGACAGGAATGAAACTTCTTACCGAGGTTTGTATACTATTTTATTTACAACCATCATATTTCGATCAAAGTTAATAAATCTCTGTTTCGTTCTGAACATACCTAAAATATTACATTTAACGACAAATTACCAAGCGCGCGGTTTTCCCAGAATAATCAAATATATTGTTACCGTGATTACGGGGTAAACAATTGTCACTAATATAAATAAATGTCAGATAAAGTCGGATATTGAATTCACGAATAATAAATATCAATAAGTAGTTTGTTGTATTTTAGTTCATTGTTGTTTTTTATTGTTTGCCATTAAATAGGTATTATAAAATTTGTCAAAAAAATGTGTTATTTTTTTAAATATAAAAAATATTCATCTAGAATAGATGAAATGAGGGCGGGAAATGAGGGCGGGAAGTTTCCAAATGGATGTTGCATTCCAGTGGCGTTTCACTTGTAATTAAATTTTAAACTACAAAAAAGTTGAGTGGAGAAAAGAGCGGTGACCCCCCTCCAAAAACCTATAAAAATCAAGAAAAAAATATTGCCTCTTCCTCGGTATTATTAGTCATGGTATTCCAACACGTCATATAAAATTTCATGAAAAAATGTCAAACGGTTTAAGAGCAACGTTAAAAAAATTCATTTAAACTTTTATCTACTATACCCTGTAACTATTTTTGGGTGCTCTTTTGTATATAAGTAAGTACGGTTTAATCGACCTATTTTTGACCCAAGAATACGTGGTATAATTTATGACCAATCTTTTTTAAGCACCCTGTATATATTAAAACGTATATACTGATATGGAAATTTCTGGAAAGTAAATCAATACGTCAAAATTATATTAGCAGCGATATCGGGGTGGTATAAAAATTGTTGTAGTTGGGAAAAAATAGTTTTTGAAGGGGGATTGATTATCAGCGGCAATTGAAAATGACAGAAGGGTTTTTGGGAAAGTAAAGATTTTAAATTATTATTGGAATTTGTTGGAGGTTATGAAATAAAAAAAGTTGTAAAAAGTGGTAAAGAGAAATTTTATTATCACAAAAAAAGGAAAGCTGGTACGCATAAATAGAGTAAGAGCAGCCAGAGTAGAAGAGATAGTGTAAGTCGTAGGAGAACCAGCATGAAGATCAATAATTAGTGAGCAGACTGCAGAAACGGAGAGGCAGGAGCGCGAACACAGCACAAAAAATAAATATTTATTTATTTCATTATTAAAAAAAATATCGAACCACTTTGATTTGAAATTGTAATTTTGTGTCGGTACTCTTACTCGTTTCCAATCAGATGCGTAGGAATCAAAAGTACTGAATACTCTAAAATGTAAAGAACTCGAAAGTTTTCTTTTCTTTTGATTCCTAAGTTTAATTTTGAGTACAATTTACTTAAGTAATGCCCAGCTCTGGGTACAAATGATAAAAATACATTTAAAATTTTAAAAGTATAAACAAAAATGTTTACTTTCTTTAGTCCTACTATAGATCCAATATTACTTTCTGAAATAACTCAGTTTAGTGAAAAAGTTGAAGATTTTAATAAAATAGGAGCAGCTATATTAATATGTTTAGATGGGCCAGACATACACTTTTTGAATTGGAAAAATCAATTTGAGAATCAGGAGTTCCTACAAAAGTTAGAAGTTCCTCTAATTTTTGAGTTTGAAGGGAATTTTATGTCTACCAATTTTGGAGTTAACTTAAAGAACGTTCATTCTGAAATGAAGTAAGTCAACTTATTTTTTTATTATGTGTTTAGAATTATTTATCACATAAATGTTTTACTCTTCATCTAAGTAAATAAAAATGAAGCAAGGGCATACACATTTTCTATCAATAAAAACATTTGGTTTTCAACTTATTTAATAAAACAAATTATAGTTGAAACATTTTTACACTTAAATCAACATTTTCGAAAATACATCTTGAGATTTTTTCCTTAGCAACTAAATAGCATTTTTAATTATGGTACCTGTACCAACGACGAAAAACTACTAGACTAATCCATTCATTCATAAAAGCCCTTATTTATTGTGTTTTGTATTAGGCAGACAGCTTTCGCATTGGCCACCTCATTAGAAAGAGCGAGATGGCTGTCAATTTCGGTGCGAGTTTTATTGTTTATCTCCAGGGGGGCTATGGGGGCCATGCCTCCGAAATGAAAATTATTACGATTTATGGGCCTTCGAGCATATATATTTCATAGAGTCCGCATTCAATTGGGTTTGTTTACGTTATGAGGAGAAATGCCTGGACTAATACCAGTGTCGCATCATTTTTACGGGGTTTGCAATTAATATAAATAATAAATTTGATACATACCTTCAAAATTCTTTAAATTATGCACATATTTTATAAACTTGTATTATTTAAGTAGGTACCTATCTAGTAATAGTAAATTATTATTATTTGTGTTGGAAACAGATTTTTTTTTTAATTCAAACATCAGAAAGTGTATAACGGAAACATGAAGATTGAAATAATAGGCAATAAAACAGATAAAAAGCTTATATTTAAAAATCAAAAATATAAATAAATAGTAGGTATATTATACAAATATGATATCTCTTAACACACGTGTACGAAAATTACAATACAAGAACTTTTTCCAATAATTTATTAAATATAAAAATATTGTTCGTAACCAATGTTCAATAGATTACTAAACGATATACTACAAATAGAAATCAAGCTAATACTTAGGCACTTAAGTATATTTGCACTGCTAGTCGTTAACAAATAAGTGAAGTTTTATTTTTATTGGAAAACTGTTTTAAGCTTCTATTATTTCTTAATGACTAGGAGTGCAAATAATAGAAGCTTAAAATGCCTTTTTTATTGAAAAACTCACATTAGGTTTTGCTTATTTCTTAACACTAGTAGTCTACTTAATTAAAGAACATAGGTGCATTTAATACAAAATAATTATTGTTAATTTTTGTGGTTATAAAAAATATAGGTAGTAATAGGTAATTATTTTAAAATAAAATTTATGTTGCATTAAAAAGTACATAGTTACTTACATGTTTTCCAATTCTGCATTTTCTTTTTCTGCAACAGAGTCTTCATGGTTCAGATCATCACTGAAAAATTAAAAAATTTGAATGATTAACCCACAAGAAAAGTGCAGGGTTCCTTACCTTTTAGATTCATCTTCTTCTGGGGCCTCAGTAAATGCTGATGGCAATGCACTTGAAATTAATCTAGTTCTTCCTCCGCATTCAGTCTTTGACATAATATATGTCCAGAAAAATGATTGGAACATAAAACATCACTATTTGAAATGTTTTCTGGAGTAAGTTTTAATACGTTTCACCAAATGCGTTTTTTCGGCAGAATTAGCTGGAAACAAAAATTACTGATTTAACATCTTAACATTATTATGATAAAATGACTTAAAAACAAAAAGCTTGTTTATATTGAAAAATTATGATTTTTTTTTACTTTTAGTAGCCCAAAATCAAAAACAATATTCCTCATACATAATACAAGTTCTTTAAATTTAATTCACTAAATTTACCATTTATTTTAAATTTATGTTTAACGGCCTTTTGCATAAAATGTAGGTACTAAAAAAATGGTAGAGACGCTAATGGTTACTTACTTGTGAAATGCCCTTGACGATGCCTTTTCTTATTTCTATTTATAACTTACACAAACTCTCACCATTGTTAAAATTTGTATCAGTGAAGTAATAAAATACAAAAAATCACTTATAAACTACAAAAGTAAGCTAGAAATTTGAAAATCAAAAATCAAATGACAGTTCTGACAATTTCGAACAATTTGACATGCCAAGCAAAACGAAATAGACCAATGGGAATGCTGGACATTATTTTTCCCCCCTGTACCAAAACAAAGTCTATTTGGACGATGGCTCTAGTAATATATGCTCGAAGATGACACCGTGATTGTTTGCAATTCGATTTTTGTTAACAATATTAGTCTAGTAGTTGTTCCGTCTTTAACCTATACTTACAGTGTGTTCCATAAAGTTGGATCCATATGGGATTTTTTTAATATTACGATTTTTTCAAAACTTAAAATAGACCATATTAAAGTTGGCTAAGTATTGCATTACTGTCAAATTCGGTATTTTTTTAAAAATCTTTCAACCCATATGGAATCAACTTTATAGCACACACTGTATAATCTAAATAAATAAATAAATACTGCATACAGTAATTTTATTGTTATATTCTTGCAATTATTTCATAAATAGCTCAAATATGTTTACAATCTGTTGTTAAAAATCCATTTGTATGCCACTGTTTTCAAAATTCTGAGATGTCACAAACTTTTTGGTTAATTTTTATTTTAATTCCTATTATATAGGGTGTACCAAATTTCTAGTACCAACAAATTCCTGTTGCCAAATTGTGCACAATGGGTAGATAACTCAAGTTCCTAAATGCACATTTTATTGACCATTAGATAGTGTCAGGTTAAGGTGCCCCATTTTCGCATCAAGCCTCGAAGAGGGTTGCAAAGTACATCGATTTTAAGTAGAATAAAAGTAAATTTACGAGTGGCTCCTGGGGATAACACATGGAAAATTCGATTTTCCCCATTAAAAATAATCGAGATTTTCTCAGATTTTTCCACATAAGCCCATCGAATGTATGAAAACGTACATCGTCACTAGTCCGAAAAATATATTTTCTTGAATAACCCGAATGTATAAGTGCATTTTGGGGTAGGAAAATTTTTCTTATAAGGAAAATCGAATTTTCCATGTGTTATCCCCAAGAGCCACTCGTAAATTTTCTTTTATTCTACTCAATATCGATGTACCTTTCAACCCTCTTCGAGGCTTGTATGCGAAAATGGGGCACCTAAATCGGTCACTATCTGAAGGTCTATTATTATTATTATTATTACATAATTTTAATAATGTGTCATATTTTATGAACGACGTAAGAACAAAACATATAGTTCAACGAATTTTTACTCAAAAAAGTTTAACTTTAGTGTAGCAGAATGTTTCGACTTTTTTGGCAGACTTATTCCAAAAAGTCAATTCAAAATTTCTACATTTAATCCACTGTTTGTTAAAAATCAGTTTTTTTAATTTTCCAATTTCAGAATTTAAATAATCTATTGTTTAAGAAGCAAAAAGTAAGAGTAGGAAATGAATATTCCTTGTGAGTTGAATACAAAACTTTTTCTATGATTATAATACGCTGCTTTTCATTTTTAATTAGCATTGTATTGTAGCCATAGAAAAGTGTTTTTCTTTATTTTTAATTAATAGAATTAAAAAAAAAATAACTGAATTATTAGCAATTTATTTTAATTTTAGAATTTTAATGTTAGTTAACAATCGAGGGGATGTTGATTATAAAAGTACGTTTTCCATTTGCCATGAAGTTAATGTTGTGGACTCGTTAAAGTTATTACGCCATGTTCAAATGTGTTCGACGAAGACATAATACATTTTGATGAGGTACTTTCAAATTCCAAAGAAAGGCTGATTTTTATTATTATTTTAATTATGATTTTAAGTTTATAGTTATACATCAAACATTTTTATTGAATATTATATGCATCTGTTACCTTTATGAATATTTTTGTTGAGTTTATGCCTTTCATGTAAGTATATCTATTGTTATTTTGGAATTAAAACATGAAGTAAAATGGAAGTTCGTATTATTTGGACCGTATTATAGTAATTTATGAATAAATTGATAACATTCGTTACCTATTTTTTTTATGATTTTCATAAATTAATGAGGATAAAATAATTAAAAACACACATGATTTAACTAAAATCCAAAGTGTTGCTACTATAATTTTTTCATTTTTTTCGCGTAGTTAATTTGAACATTTAGCTCCTATTGTATGACTCGAGTTTAAGAACAGTGATAAACATATACTCTTCCCAAAATCAATTCAACACGCTATAAAAAACGACTACGATCGATTTCAAAGGGACCGTGCACAGGGGCGTACCGTTTTTATTGTTAAAATTAAATAAATTAAATTATTAATTGGATATAAATTCTTCCATTATCAATAATTGGAAGGCATTAAATGCCGTTATTTAGACAGAGGAACTTAGTTATAGTTCTACTTGAAACTTAAAAAAAATTATTATTATAGCTCGTTAACTTGCTACAACTGAATATTAAATTATAAAACGTAAATTGACGAGTAAAATATTCCTGCCTGTAAGGGCGTTTGGTTTAAACAGGGTACTGCCATAGGGTCCCGTAGCGTCGATCCAATTCTTACCCGAGTTGCAGCTCCGCAACGATACCCTATGTGTATGGACACCATACATGTACCCCAATTTAACCGAATCCGCAAACACTAATTTTTGCAATCACACATATAGAGTCACTCTTACGTCGACACAAGTTCTTGTGGTTTTACATTCGTACTCGAAAGCCAGAAAAGTTATTTTAATTTTTAATATTAAATTGTTACTAAATAATAAATCACGAAGTAATCCTAAAGTTCGAAGACTAGTTACTCTTTGTCATGGGAACAACTTCGAACATTCATATTTCCGTATTTCATTTATACCCGAATGAAATGCCTACATACGCAGAAATATTTCAAACAACACAAAAATCCAAATTAATTCGCGTGTCCAAACTATGTCTTATTAATATTTCACACCCACGTACAACTCTTCTAGCTTTCTAAAAAGTACTTTATCCTCTAATCGAATTTCATTATTATTCATACTAAAAAGACAGTTTAAATTTCAAATATACAGCCGTTGCAAATTTCAAACGATTCCAAAGAGCTTTAGCCAATTACATAATTGTTTTACCTATGGGCGTTTCCGTTTACGGCCATATCTCCCTCACGACCCCTTAGCGAAAGGGCAAATAAACGACCTTCACCCGAGCGAGACCCGACGACAGTACCATACGTGAACTGAGCCCTTTTTGTACCCCATTCGTTTTTTTTTTCTGGAAAACAAAATTTCAAAGCAAAAACCATAAAGGAAAATAAATTCTTTACAAATAAAACAAAACTATAAATATATTAATGTGATGACTCTCGGATTACCAATAATGAAAAATAAGAAAGTTAATCCGAATCTAAATCAGAATCATCTATCGAGGAATCGAGGTTTGGATTTATAACTACTGGAGCTACAGAAGGTAAAACATCATATTATTTTTCCTTTTTAATGACGTGATTAACGCTGTTTTTCCAAACGTCAGTCAAAGACGGATCTTTAAAAACGCCATTAATATTTTCCAAAACCACATTTGTTAAGGTAGGTGCAAAATTATTACGTCTCAGTTTTTGTTTAACTGAAGACTAAACTAACTCAATTGGATTAAGTATACAATAATAAGGTGGTAACCTCAATACAGTATGACCAGCATCTTTTGCAAAATTATCAATATAATACTGTATTGGAATATTCTTACTTTTAACAATTTCTAACAATTGTGGTTTCATTTTTACGGAAGCAGGAATATCAATGTTATTATCTTTTAAATATTGTATTATAATTGATTTCTTAGAGCCACTATTTGGCTGTTTATGAATTTGCCGGGAATGATACGACGCATTGTCCATTACAATGACTGAATTTGGTGAAGTATTTGGTAAAAGTTATTCAGCAAACCAGTTCTCAAAAACTGCTGCATTCATATCTTCATGATAATCCAGCAGAGCTTTATTGATATTTTTTGCTAAAAGTAGCAAAGCGTTTGGTACAAACCCATTTTCATTTCCGGCATGTAAAATTATGACTCGTTTCCCCCTCGAGCATGGTGCATTTAAAACACAATTTTGTGAACCGTCTGCCCAACCACGTTGAACGACATCATGAGTGTCGAACCATGTTTCATCTAAATAAATTATATTTCTATTGCAATTTCTAAATTTAAAAATTTCCCTTAAATAAATTTGAAGTAATTCCACAATTCGACGCTACTCCATAATGCACATTCGGCTATCTAACTTTTTATATCTAAAACCACAAGTTATTAAAATTTGTGAAGTGATTCTAATGATTTATATTTGAAATCTTCAAAATCTTGTAATTTTCTAAAAAGTATCTCTAAGGTTGGGACTTGGTTTTCTTTATACGTGTTGTAAACCGTTCGTCGAATCACATCTTTAGATGCATATTAATATCTGTATTCCGAGAGTATCCTCTAGAAATTCTGACATATTTCGCATATCTGTACCTCGCACAAATGTTCTAAAAAATTCTCCATTTCATACCATTAGCCGCGCTGTGAATAGTGTGAGTAGTGAGATTGACATCTTCTCATGCAAAGTTAGGGAAATAAAATATCATTTCCTAACTTAAAAAAAATGTATTGTATTGTATTTTACCTACTGTTTACAAATTTTTGTATATTTTGTACCACTTAGTCTACATAATGTATGTGTTTTTTTATTCCTGCTCTGTAATTGGGATTGCCTGTAGAGCATTGTAATAAATAAATAAATATTCGTTCTTTCCATCTTTTAAGAATGCTATCGAAATACTATCTAAATTAATTGCTGTAATATTAATAGTTATTTGTTTTAATCGTACTTAAATATTTTTGAGATTTCTTGTAATTTTTTATTATCGCACGTGTTAAAAGATAGAAAAACACTTGTATTATGAGTGTTTTTATTTCTTAAAAATAAAGGCGACCAATGGAGCTTAAAGGAGACCGAGGGGTGTCGTAAAAGGAATTAAAGAAGATCAGGAGAGCTTAAAGTAGACCGAGGCTTGGAGTAGGCGAACCTCATTAGTTCAACGAGTGTCCTACGTACTGAGGAGCCGTCCCTAGTCCTGGCCAGGATTCTCATAAGTTCGTCCTGGAAAATTGTAGAGCCGAACTAAAGGAAGTGTCAATCTTCATCCGTATCGGAGTGTTCTAGTCTCAAACGGCTACCACGAAAACAGATAAGTGTCATCCGACACCTACCATTTTTACCAAGAACATTTTAAAAATACTTGTTAGTTAAAATTATTTTATCATTAAATTGCCTTTCTTTTTGTTTATGTTAAAGTATTACAACTGTTCACTCATGAGTTATTTTACAGCCAATATTTTGAAATTTTATTACTTGTTTTTTTTTTTCTTATTTTAAGCTGGTAAGTTCATGGCACAATTCGTGTTTATTAATTAGCTAAATACGTGGCGTCTACAAATATTAATTTAATTTTCTTTTTAACTACAAATAGTGCCATTAACTGCCTATTTCATTAGTCTCGTTTTGTTTACAAAATTATTTACATACATTCGAAAAGCTAAAATAATACAACCTATTTTGCAGCTGAACCCAAAATCATTAGTTATATCAAATTTAACTAAATTTCACTAAATTAAATGTAATAATTTTCAATAAATTCCAAAACCTAGTAATCGTAAGTTAGAAGTGGCAACAGGGCTTACACCGTTACGTTGTTCATTATAAGCGCACTTCGTTTACACATTTATTCATTGATAAAATAAAGTTGTATCTGCGTAAAATCCTTCTCTTTATCCCCTCTTTTACTTCTCACCGTCCGTCTTCTCGCCGCGGACCTACAAATAGAGTGTACTGATTGTCGACTTAATCTTGGCATCGTGAATATTATATTTTATCAATGAATGGTTATATCTCTTGTTAAATTCTAGCCGAATCTCACCGACTTAATTTACATCTGAGCTAGACCGAAGGGTTGTAAAATCCTTTGTTACAAGGTTTTTTTACAACGTTACATGGGTTTAACAGAGTTGACGCCTAACAGGTAACATATTTGGCGCCCAACGTGGTGAAATAGTGTATTATTTAATTTCACTTTATTTCGCACGTCTATGGTTTACTGATTTTGAATTTACCTTTCTCTTAATATTCGAATCAACTAGGTATATGTGCTAAAGCCAACTCTGTGCCGTGGGCTACGCAACACTGCTTTCTAAATATTACGCCACAAATAATTTTAAATTTATTGATATTTTTTAAATAAGTTATGTTGGGAACTCATAAAGTGGTCAAAAATTAATACAAATTTAAGGATGCCCAAACAAAAATCTTTATTATAAATTATGAAACTTCTCACGAAAAATCTATTAAATACATTATTTAGTCAGATAAGGTGGAGTATTTGTAGTTTTTAGCTGGTAAATTCCTTTGGATGTTGGTCCAATGCTCAATCCATATAACTCTGTTTTTGTTGATGTCGTCCTAACAGCAACTTTATCTCTCAAAACTGTAACAGAAGCTTCTTGAGCTTTTGCATTAGATACTTCTAAAGATGCTAAAAATATTTCAGCTGCTCTCGTGTGGCTACATTTATCTAAAACAAAAACATTAATACAAACAGTTATTATAAACATAGATCAATCAAACAAAACATAATTTGTTGACCAAGAAGACGATAATCTAAAAATAAATACTCCCCTAATCTATGAAATAAACGAAAGTGAAGAGGAGTCTTAAAATAACAGAAACAAGTATTAAAAGTAATTTTAAAAAACCGACTTCAAAATCGTGCAGATGCCATCAACACATCTTGACCAAATTTAAAAGAAATATAATACGTATTTCAATAAGGATAATTTCCTGACCGTAGTAAAATTTTATATAAATGAAAAGATCCTTGGTTTATTCGGTTCATAGTTTTTATTTTTTATAATTTAAGCACTAGGGTAAAACCCAATTAGCTCTAATTTTGAAACATTTCGTTTTTATAAGTTTAAGCAGTGTACATTAATTTTTGCCATTCTTGATTTTTATTTTCTTCCGTTGGTATTAGTGTTTATAAATGGCGTATTATGAGTAGGTTGTGATTGAGCCCTTCCTAGTTAATAGTGTGTTAATCATACCATAACAGTAGCCCAGAGGTAAGTTACTATTTTTAAAGTAATTTTAATATATTTTCCTGATATTTTTACTTGAAACATACATAACTAACATAAAATTGAATAATGTAACCCAAAATTTATATTTTCCTCCAATTTTAACGACAAACGGGTGTCAATAACTGAATTTAAAAAATATCGCCTTTACAGTTATGAATTTGAGAAATCTTTGGGAAGTTGTGTTTTTAATAGGGATAACCATCAGTAGAACTCATTTTTAAAGCTTATTATTGCCTACTAATTCACTTTAGTTATGAGGGTGTTAATAACTATAGTCCTCTAGAAATTATAAAAAAAGATATCCTCTATTGTGCTAGAGGACTTCTGAAGGCGTTACATCGGCCAGTTCCAATGTTAGTGAAAAAGACATTAAAGGGTGGTTTTCTCTTGTTGAAAAATATTTAAAAGATAACAAACTTGAAGATATACTAAAAGACCTAATAAGACTTTATAACTGGGATGAAAGTAACTTTCAGTTGTGTCTAAAGGGGAAAAGAGTTTTGGCTGTAAAAGGTTCAAAAGATGTATTTGAGGTTAATGTTGGACAAGCCAAATCAACATTAACAGTTATGTTTACTTTTGGAGCTGATGGATCTTTGATAGCAATTTTTTGCCAAGAAGAATTAAAATGTTTTTACTGTACTGATAGCAACTAAAAATGAAAAGCTGGCAGGTGAAATTTTACTGGATCTGGGAACTACAAGTTCAGATGATGAAACCAAAATTGGAGATTCACGAACTATAAAGATAAACAAACAGCAAGAAATCAAGTTTGGTATTCTTAACGATGATTTTGAAATTGATTACCCTATTTGTATAGAGGAAAATAATGAAATGACAGAATGGTAATGAAGTTTATAACATGTCTGAAATAATTACAGAAGATACCGAAAACTCGATATAATATCCAATGTATATGGAAGAAAATAGTGAAATAACAGGGGACTACAAAAAAACATTAATGAGGCTGAATTATTTGAGGAAGATAAAGAAAACACAATATCCTGACAGGGAATGGTAAAGAAGTTTTAAACGTGCCTGAAATTGTTGAAGAAAATATAGAAAACTCAATTCTGGGTGATTATTATGTAGACGAGAACTTGACATTAAAACTGTTAAATGATAATGCAGATTTGAAAGAAACTGATACTGCTAATTACGGGTGTAAAATTTCCTTGAGTGATACAGTAATTCTTCCCCTTACACCCGAAAGAAAGGCCACAAGAAAAACAGAACGGGCACTATTCGTAATATCGTCAGAAAATTTCAAGACTTGATGTATTCAAAAAGAGGAAGTTAAGAAACAAAAAGAAATGGAAAAAGAAGTTAAGAAAGAAAAGAAACCAATCTGAAAAAGAAGCCAAGGAGGATGAAAAAAAAAGAAAAAAAAAATCACAGACTGCCAGTAAGAGAATAGAAAAATTGACCAATACATTACTTAAAAAAGAAAAATTTCGGTAAAACTGAAGCTGAAAGACCAGACAGCGTTTCGAATGCTGGGCAATCACAAAATTATACCAATAAACAAATTATACATTCAAACCAATTGATTATTAGTCATAAAGAAAATAGTTCTGCAATAGTGGAAAATCAACAGCTAGAACCAAAAGGACTCTCTTTTATCTGTACATTTAATATTACTGAACGAGAAGTTAACTCTGTTATTTGCAAGAGAGAAAATGTATGAAAAAAAAATCCCCATTTAGTAATATAATTAGCAATTTTCAATGTAACGTCTGCAAAAAAAGGCAAACAGAACAATTTTTTCCAATTATGTTTAATTTTTTTTTAATTTAATGTTTTTTTTTAATTTGAATAAAAATGTTATTTTGCCCTCCGGTTAAAATCTAGATAAAAAGAGACACATGATATGTCAATAACTATTTATAAGGTGTCAATAAATATATCGGATGTAATATAATAACTGTGGTTAAGGCAATCGTATATATTTTTATTAATAACTTAATCATTTTTGATCAAATTACTAATAAATCATTGCTATATCATAGATTAAAGAGGGAGAGATCGTTTTAATTAAGTTTTATGAACTCAAGGTTAATTATAACAAAATTCTAATTTTACATGCTTGTGGTGTCAATAATTGTAGGTCTTACACTCTACTTATGTTTCGGAGAAACATTTTTCCATCTTCTAGTGCAGTCAATATATTTATAAAAATATAGGGGACAAATACAGTTTTAAATTTTTTTAAATAATAGAAACTTCATCTTTCTGTTTCACATTTCGTAGTTTCTTTTTTTTTATTTTTACACCTCCCGTGCTATCATCCTAATCCATCTGTAGCCTGGCAGCACTGTAGCCTGCGGCTTATTGTACCACCATGTGAAGGTCCTACTACTTTCCCATTCACCAATTTACTCTCATTCACCGTCATCGTCGATGGTTAAACACTAGTCGGCTAAGTCCAATGGTGGGACGTCCCAGCAATCACCCATCCACCTTGATTGGTTAAACTTACCCTTATCATCAGTACATCCGGGTTGTACATTTCCGTCATTTACATAATAATCTATGGTACAAGTTGCTGCTTTGACTCCATACTTCTGACAATTAGTATGAGTGCATGATACAATTGTCGCATCAGTTGCAATCAGCTTGTTTGAATCAGGTATTTTAGTCTTAGATCTCTTTTCCACTTCAAATCCTGCCGCTGCTGGGTCCAAAGCTATGATAATGAAAAGTTTCTGGCCACTATTCTGGGATGTGTACGCTTTTCCAGTTAAACCGGCTATTTGGGCTCCGAATCCCAGTCCTAAAATCATAATGAAATAAAGCAAATATTTACAAGCATTAATTTGAAATGGTGACATTACTGAAAAGGTACCGTCTGCGACTCCATGACGAGTGTAAAAATTGTGCATGATTCAACCTTCCTCACTTACACACGTAAATAATGAGAGGTTGCCCTAAAGCACAGTAAACAAATTTCAGGTTTGGCTTTGTTCAGTCATTATGTTCAGCTTTTTTTTGTTTTTGTTGTGGCTGTTGCGAAATGCGAATATCGACTTAAAGCCATTTGACTTTGAAAGTAGATACTCACAAAAGATTCCTCCTAAAGATGAGTAGCTGGTATTGAATCGGTTGTGGTATAATTATATATTTTTTTCTTGACTTACCCACAAGAATAACTTGATTCGCAGGCACTTTCGCATCTGTAATAAACGTAGCTAAGTTGTCGGCCACAAATTTTGTATTATCTTTCGCTGTATTAGGATCACCTCCTGCTATTGACCAATCGATAATTACGACCTTAAAACGTATAAAATTAAATAAATACATTGGCTTAAAAAAAACTTGATAAGTTGTTTAATATTATGTTCCTATTTGTTATAGTAGGGACAGAAGTTGTAAAGGCCTTTCGCAGTTCTCCCACTTCATACACAGACAGTTTTGCGGTGGAGCTAACCGAAGTGGACGCGATAAATTGGCGTACCAAAATTGTTTTATAGGTGTTAATAACAATTTCGGGTAAATAGTTTAATAAATTGTGAATAGCTATTGAAATTTTGTAGAATTATGATTTGGGATATTAAAATACTTGTTTAATAATTATTTCTAGTCCATAAATACATGCGATTGTCCGGTTTCGCCGGTATGACAATTTAAAATTACTCATTCTATGAAACGACACTGGCAGATAAATATTACCGCGAAATTCTCAATGTCGTCTGACGTGGTTTGATGTTTACCCCCTCTCCACCTACCAAAAGCCTTTCCAACTTCTGCCCCTGCTATATATGTAAATTTGGCACCATGTTACAAGTACCATTGAGACTAGTCAATTGAAACGCAGCAATCGCACATATAGGTTGTTGTCAACTCATCTACAATAAAGTGTACAAAAAAAAAATACATAACAATCTTTTATTACCTACCAAAAAACTTCTAATATAAATTCTTTGAAAATTTAGCCATCAGGACATGCCAAGTGCAGAAAGCGAATGTGGAAAATTCGGACGCACCTTATAACTGGCCTCCAAGATCACCTGATTTGAACCCACCTGATCATTAGGTTTGGGGTTATCTCAAATTAAAAGTTAACTCTACTGAAATATACAGTAGGAAGCAGCTACTTCAAAGGATCCATGATGTCCGTACTGAATTACGGAATACAAAATAAACCGACGGAATTAGTATGTCAGATATATTTTGAAAAGAATATATTGAATATAATGGACCTTATTTTTTGAACATTTATTGTAGTTTTTAGGAATTATTAATGTAATGCGAGCCATTTCTGACCAATCCGATCAGATCTAATCCTTTAATAAGTATCTCTCTCTCTGGCTTGTTTCGGCTTCTAAGGCCGATTACCTTAATAAATAAGTCAACACCCCGGGATAAGCCTATGGTTAGTCGTAGTGAATCATTCATAAAATGTACTAGAACGATGATGAGTGGTAAATATAATATATATTCCAAGAAATACAATCGAACCATACCAGCGCTTACTTATGGATATAAATAGGTGGCATACGGCGAAGAAGATAGGACCTAAAAGAGTAAGAAAAATTTATATTAATCTAACAAACATCATCCGACTAGGGCCAAGCTGTCATATTGCCGGGGTTAATAGCCCTTAGTTGGTGAGATTGCCACTCACAAGTTGAAGCAGGGACTTCCAAATACTAACAAAACAAATTCCTCCCACAAACCATTGTCACCACCATAGCGGTGAGACGCTAAAATTCTTATGCCGGTTCTGTTGCATCTTCTTCGCAGCAGTACGGCCAAGGCACAAACTCCATGGCGACAATTATCTTCCCAAATACAAGCACAATCACTAACCAAACAAGCACAACTACTAGCCAAACAAGCTCCATCTCCTCTTTAATGGATCGTACCATTACTTATCCTACAAATATTTTTCAAAAATTTAAAGAAACGCCCCAAAAACAACTATCACAACCCCAAGTACCCCAACAACAACACCCTCAAACTGACAGACAACATCGATCCTCCGAAACCACTCACTTTACGTCATATTCAACTTACCTACCGCATAACTCAAAAGGCCCTTTTTAACGTCTTAAACACAAACGAATTATTTAGACACAACCTGACATACGTAAAAGCCAACCTTAACGGTACCGTACTAATTAAGACAACCTCCACAAAAACTCTCACCGAACTCCAGACACTCATTCGAGAACGGGATAATAAAGTTATCCTCAACCCCAAACAAACTCAAAAGCAACCAGAATCCCCCCCTCCTACTCCCAATTCCCTCTTGTCATCCGCCAGGTTGACAAATACATTACTCTAGATATAGAGGAAATTCAAGCGACTCTTGAGGAACTAAGCATTCTCTATACTAAGGTATAGATAATTCGTTCCCAAAAAACGCAGGAATTTACCTCGTTCATAAGGGTGTTTACTCCTTCAGAGTCACACTATCCTACTCCTACTATATTAAAGTGCCAATGTCTGTCTGTCTGTGCCGCGATCTCGGGATAGAGAAAGCCAAAACCTTATCGGACTCTGATATAAGCTAGAGACACTTAGAGAAGCAAAATGACACCAAAATCATGGTACCTACTTTTGTGGTTCCCAAGATATAGAATTCGGTCGAAAATTTAAATGAACGAAATCGCACTTAGAGAAGCAAAATGACACTAAAATCATGGTATCTACTTCTGTGGTTCCCGAGATATAGAATTCGGTCGAAAATTTTAATGAACGAAATCGCCTAGATGTCAAAGATTACAAATTATGGCCTACTATATTAAAGTGCCAATGTTTTTCTGTCTGTCGAAGGCGCTTGGTCTCCCGGTCCTATTTAATCGGCGAGGGTTTTGGCATATTCGGCCAAAGACACCCCTGCGAGCCCTCCAATCAAAACCCCCTGCCTCTCATCCCTAAATATTGCACCCAGTACACCGACCTTGGGCATTCGGCTACAGAATCCTCAAAAAACCCACCTGTCCGAACAACGGATATCATCATAGGCTAGCAGACTGTAAAAAATCTGAGGTGCCAAAATGCTTGCATTGTCGCTGCAACCACCCTGTCTACTTCATTACCTGCCCAGAACAACAAAAGCCGCCACAAAAGCCCGGACAGGTAGCTCCTGTCACCCTCCAAATCTCAACATCCTCTGGAGCTGACATCAGAGCTTAAAATATCCATACAACTATTCTCGACTTTACAAATGAATTTCCACCCTAACAGTTGAGAACTTTTAGTCAAATTATTGGGATCGCTAATCCCGGTTATCTTCGGCCATTCATATACCATCACTGGTCATGGAAATTTACCTATTCTCCAAAAAACCCTGACCTTTAATGGATTGTCTATTTGGAACTGTACATTGAAATGGCCTCGCTCGGAAGAGGGCCTTAATCAAAAACCTTTTAAATACCGAAAACCTACAAATATTATCATTAACAGGCATTAAGCCTAAACTCCCACCCATAGCTTCACTGGGTTTCACAGTCCACCAAAACAAATCCTAAAACTGCTTTGGGGATGCCATACTAATTAAAAATTTAATTCTATTTAACTTACATACACTCCCTGCTCATCTAGCAGACCTAGACATAATATTTATAGACCTTCCAATAGACAATCAATTACTAGAGAGACTATAATCTCTTACTACAATCACCCAGGCCAAATCATTTCCACCCCTCTGATGGACTACCTATCATCATTTCCTCTTGCCGTTTTGCTTGGAGATCTGAACTCCAGACCTACCATGTTCGGAGATCACAACTCAAACCCAAACGTCATTCGCCTAGCTCATCTGCTTATCGACTACCCCATAGTTTGTCTCTGTATGTTGAGTTCAGTTTAAATGTTATGTGGATTAGGCATCCAGGATATATCACAATAAAAATTATCTAATTTGTGCATTGTCGTTTAATTAGTCATTAAGTATACCAATTAGTTAATTTTAAAATATTGAATGCATATTATCTCTTATCTTAAATACGGATCTGTAATTAGATATTTTAATTGCTTAGAGGAAAATGATGATAGTATGAATTCTAAAAAATACAACATTTATTAGATTAGATCGCATAATCCTTATTAAAAGATCATAAAATTAATAAAAATCCATCGGATCACATTTTGAATCATTTATGGTGATCTTACACCCGTTTGTGCCTACCGTCAATCACGGCAACTCATTTGAAATGGCAACTCATTGTCCCTATAAGAATCAGCAACAATAGTAGACTTCTGCGTCTTCCTTCTATGACACTTCGCAACATACTAGTGTGATGCAACGACACAACAAGAGCAACACAGAATAATTATATTTTTAATCTAACATTTTAATGGCATCCAACTATCGTTCGGTGTGAAATTATTGTACATCCATCTTATAAAATCGTAATTTTTTACTTACCTGATATTTTTTAAGCAATGCGACCCTTAGTTTCTCAACCCATTCTGTTTTACTATTTTCATCATGATCGGGGATTATGAAGACTGTTAAACTTTGGGCAATATGAAGACTTGAAGAAGTTGTATGATAAACCTCTGGTTTCGAATTTGCATCTTTATAAAATGTAAAGGTGAGTTGTTCTGCATTGGGTTTCTTTCCTGAAAAATTTGCTGGTTCGTTACCTAAAATGTAATGCTAAATAATAGATCATATTTATGAATAAGAACATGCCAAACAAGAAATTTTCGTGAATTTTTCTTCCAGTCTAATTCACATATTTGTAAACAATTATCGCTACTAAGAAATTTTGATTATGAATTTATAAAACCCGAGCTTGTTTTCACCCAACTTGCTTCGTGAGAGGTGTTTTTCCAAATACCTGGAAACTGCCCGAATGTAAACCAGAAAAGTGATAAAAAGAAATATTTATTCAATTTTTCGAAATGTAAACCCTAATGCCCCTCACGAAATTAAAGAAATTTTCCCCCAAGTGAAAACAAAACAAAGAAAAATTAAAAAACTGTGAAATAAAGAAAAAATTAATGCTCCGACCAGGGGGTCAATTCTCGACTTTTATTCCCATGGGAAAATAAAATTTTCCCATGGGAGTTCAGTTTTCGTATTCTCGACATAAGCGTTGGAATATTTTCCAATGAGAAGTATGGGAAAATATTCCCCTGCTTACGAGCATTGAAAATTGTGTTTTCCAATGGGAATTGTACTAGAGTTTGGGCATTAAAGTCGAAAATTTGACGAAAGACCACGCGAAAGTCTAAGACATAACCAAAGATTATTGGATATCTTGGATTTTTAGTGAAATTGTAGTTAAAACATTTTTTTGGCGTATTTATAGATTGATATTATTTTATTTATGTAGGTATATTATTTTTAATTCTCTTTCACTAAGAAACTGTATAAACTGATTTTCCTAAATCATTTAGAAATTGTGGGAGCTGCTAAGGGACTGGCAAATAACACAAATTGAGTGTAGTAAATTTAATAAGACCTTTTCGAAAATTTTATTATTTTCGTTATTGAAAGAATTTCTTAGTTTCTCAAAACTTTCGTTGCTCTTCCATACAAAAGCTACCTTTTCTTTTTTCCACATGAGAAAAGAAAAACTAAGAATAACTCGACAAGTTTTAATTATTATACGTAATCGAATATTTTCACTTATTCTCGATCATGATAGCGATTGCTCGGCACGGCACCTGCTCCAGCGCGGAGGCTCGGCAGGTAATCGGATACCCAAAAACCACAACAAATACAAATATTGCCAACAGTAAATTTTAAAATATCTTTAATGTTATTGGTTGTTTCGAAATATTCGTGAACTTAAATATCAGACATACGTGAAACTACTATTTCCATGGAAATGTCTATTCCGACACGTTCGAGAATTGCATAACCTATTACCATGGGAATATAAGTAGTGGAATATTTTCTCATGCGAAAATTTTCCAATGATCTCGAGAATCGAGCCCCAGGGATCGAATCTAGAACTTTTAGTGTGGTCCACAGCGTCTATACAAATTAGACTATCGGCATCGTGGCACGCTACTAAATTTTAAGATCATTCTTTCGTTGCCAGACCAATGTTGTTTTCATGAGCGAACCTCCGTAAACGTGAATGTGACAAAAAAGGTTATTGAGCCGAAAACTAAGTATGCAATTTTTGGAAATTTGAAAATATAAACTTCAATTCCTCCTACGAAATTATGAAATGTATCACGTCATCGCCTGCAAATTTAGCTGTGATGGTCTAATTTGTAAACTCGCTGTGGGATACACTCAAAAGTTCCAGATTCGATCCTTGGTCGGGGCATTCAATTTTCTTTATTTCTTAGATTTTTAATTTTTCTTTGGTTTGTTTTTACTTTGAGAATGTGATGATAAATTCCTTCACATTTTTAAAAATTGCCCACTCTAGCTTTCGGATTTATAGCCGATATTTCTTTGATACATATTTTAGACTTCAGAGCTGTTTTGAGTACATGTAAAAATACCTAATACGAATACTTAACAAAATGTTGCATTATTATGCACACTAGCACAGTGGCACAATTGATGTGACGACTAGGGTTGCCACCTTTTCGAAAAGTGAAAAACGACTACGATGCTGACAGGGGCTCTGGTATACAAAAAGTCTTCATCCTTCTACTGAAATTCTAAAAAAAAAGAGGTCCAGCTTAACAAAAAAAATCCTCCTCTACATTACCGACCTTCTAAAAAAAAGGTCCTCAGCTTGTATATTACAAACCCTGTCCCTTAGAAAAAGGACATTTGCCATAAAAAAGGACATTTTAAGCTTTAGAAAGTCACAAGGATATTTTGCTTCAAAAAAGGACTGTCCTTTTCAAAAAAGGACAGGTGGCAACCCTAGTGACGACGGCAGTAGATCAAATAGCAGGTGGAATCAATATGTAAACAAATGCGGCACCAGAATTGTGGTGGGGAGGTGGTTATTCACAAGGCGAGTTCGGTCAGTCAGGGGCTGGAGCGGGACAAATTTTAGGGTGCTTTTAAATGACATTTAAGCGTGTTAAACTGTCACTAATCGGACTAAACCGAACGCTAAAAGAGTCGTTTGGAGTTAAAAGTGTTAAAGGAGTTAAAGGAACGTGGCAAACCGAACGCAATGACAGCAATGATATGGTTGTCACTAGTCTACAACCAGTTTAATTTTGGACTCACTGGTCAATATTTATTTGTTCATTTGCAGTTTTTGCTAAACAGTTATTTATTTACGGTATAACATTTGATTATTTAGTACAGGAATTACCCTGAATTTAATATACATTTTTAAGACTTAGTAGAGGTGCATCCCCTGTATTTATAATGAGATAGTAAGTTCTTTCGTTCGCTGTTGGTGCAGGGTCCACCAGTGTAACTTACACCATCTTATTTACCTGATTTACTTCCTCCTTATTCCTTATAGACATGTCGAGTCTAATTCACTCCTGCTAAATAGCTGGTGGAAAAAATATTCACCAGTGGACACCACATCGCCAACAAGAAGGTGTAATGGATTTTACACTGGGTCAAACGAAAGATTTAGTGTAAGTTGGTGTAGTTCATTCCTCCTACACCAGTGGGACGAAAGAAACAACCTATATAGTATATGTAACGATTGTCATTTGAACTACTCGCGATCGCGTTATTTTTTTTTTTTTAATTTTTATGGGTGACTTGTTCAGCGATGGGAGGTGAAGCCATCCGCAGCGAGACTCAACCTCTCCGCAACTACGACTACCACTAGTGCACGGTCAAGATTCCTTCGCCAAGTGCGAATTATGTACCCTATATACTATTGGAAAGAGACTATGAAGAGCCTTACAAAATAACCGGATGCTTTTGTAACCATATCCGACGCACTCTGTACTGCATCAAACCTATATTTTATTGTAAAATTTACATGGGAAGTGTTCAATAATCACCCTAGCTATCTTCGATCAAGATTTTGCATTGAGTGACTTCTACATTTTCCGGAAAGTGAAGAAGTGGTTGAATTGAAAGGACATCGCTTCCGCTCAAACGAGGAGATCAAGGAACACCATGCAAATAACCTGGTTCAATATTCAGTCTGTTGTAATTATCCTTCCTCCATGGTCTGTTGTTTGGAGGGCTTTGGGATCAGATATTTGCACTATGCAATATAATTTCTATAAGACGATTCTAGGAGATAAGCCTCAGGTTTGTCTGAGGCTGAGCGCAAGATCCCATACAGCACACATTATTTCAGAAGTGTTTCAGAAATATTTCAAACATATAACATTTCAAGCACAAGTTTCTGAAATATTTTAGTTAAATATTTCACTGAAAATGTTTCTGAAACATGGTATACATGTTACGCAAAAGGTTACTAAACGGGTTATGTTTCAAAAGGCCAACAATTAATGAAGAATTTCTAATTTGTAAGAAAAAGATGGGGTCAAAATTTGGATAGTGTGGATAGCAAGTTGGTGGTTCGAGCCCCGAAACTTTTAGTTTTTTTTTTCCTAAAAAAAAAAGGAAAAATATTATTGTTTTATTATTTCACAGTCTTGGTAATTTAAAATGTTTAGTTTTTAAAAAGTATATACTTATTCAATGCATAGTGGCGCATAACGAGATTCATTAATTTTTATGTTGGCCGGCAATTAAACCCCGGAAAAAGTATCTGCCTTTTTGGAATTAATTTTTTATATTTAATTAAGACGCTATTAAAATTTCAACGTGAATCAAACACTTCAAATCATATTTAAAAAAAATCAACTTTGGGGTTGATTTATTAATTATAAACCCTCTCAAAAATGTCTGCCTAATTTACTAGTATTTTTAGAATTACCTAAACTTTCAATTGTTGTTTTGTTGGCCTCTGAATCAAACACTTTTTTTGGGTCATATTTTACGACTCCTTTCTATTATGCGCAGTACCTGGTGTCCCGGGGGCATATTCATATGTTACCGACACAAAGAGACAATCGGATTTCCGAACGATGCCGAACACGTAATAATAAGTTGCCGACGTAATTCTTAGTTTATGTCTGTAACTTAACGATTGGCGACGACTGCGAGCTGTGGTGTTATTAAACTATGAAAATTTGTTTATTTCATTACAATAATGAATCTAGTAACTTCCAGTGAGAAAATACTTAATTTGAACAAACAATGGAATGAGTTTGGTGAAACAATTCTAAACAAATTAGAAGATAAACCTGTATTATTCCACCCAACTATTCAATCATGTTTAACCAATAAAAAAAAAGTAAACTAGAATAGAAAATTCTTTGGTATTTGGTTTGTTTACAGTGTTCAAGTATCAAAATTTGAATACTGTAAAGAAAAATATAGGCGCACCAAGAAGATAAAAGGGATGAAAATCTCCGTTCAGCCAACTTCTGTTAGTAGAAGGAAAACCAAGGTAAGAAATGCACTTTGTTTAAACATTAGAAAATGTAAAGTTTACTAGTTTCAATTTGAATTAATTTACATATACCTACCTGAAAAAATCAATGTATATGGACCATATTTCGTGAATATCTTGAAAATTATTTATCAAGAAATTCTCAAAACAAAATGACCTTGGTATAATTTTTTACAACAAAGAATGAGCATGTCAAACACAAAAATAACTATTTTAGGTGACTGGAAGTAGAAGACTTACCAGCGGGATTTCCGGAAAGCAGAAAAAAGCGCCCCACAATTTAAAGGAATGTGTTGACAAAAATGTAGGATTAGGTGATAACAAAAGGAAAAAGTAGAGAGTTTGTCTATATTATATATTTTATTATTTATTTAGAGTTTATTTCTCGAAACATATCTTTACTTTAGACTGTAATAATTAACCACTTTCATAGGCTCAAAAAATAAATATTAAATCTTATCTTCCAACTTAAACAAGAATAAACATTATGTATTCTCGCTAATATATCAAGAGTTTTTTTCAATACCTATTGTATAGGAGCAAATGTACCACTTGTTGTTTGTATAAGTTACCGACGGAATCCTAAAGTTACGTCTGTAACTTATATAAACTCAATCGGCTTTTTGGAGCGGTTGGTTGTGTCGGTAACATATGAATATGCGTCCCGGGGTGGGTCTAGCCAACACAGGTATATCTGCTTTTCCATCCAAATGATTTCAAATTACAAAATTTCAAAGTGCATCAAACACTTAATGGAATGTGTGTTACTAGCTCTTGGACTATGATGAAAATATCGAACAAAGGTGATACGGATAATCCACTTTCGTGCAGAGATTATTAAGATAAAATGACTATTTTAATAATCATTATCACAAAATTTTAATTCATGACTTTACTATTCCCTATTTAAACATTAAGGAAAAGTAAATACTTACAAATGTTTGCGATAATTGACTTTAAAACCACTAAACATTTAAAAAAAGCGAAACTATAGAACACATAATTTTATTATATATTTAATAAAATAAAAATATTGAATTAATTTTTATGGCAAAAAATGTCTGCAAATATCTCACTTAATGTTCAAACTTGAAAAAAAATATATATTCAAATTTGCTTTTAGCATGGATTTCGCATTAGAACTCATCAGTCCAACTTTCGGCGCTAATTTTATTAAAATTTACGATTTCTTCTGTATTATTGACGAATACCTTGCAGATTCTGATTTAAAAATAAAAAAAATAGGTACTAAATATGAACTGTGATTGGTGTGGTCCAATCTAGGTTGGATATAAAATTATATCCGCTCAGTAGACTGTTATGGACCAAATATCCATTATGTACATGTAGGTGTAGAAAATAAACCTAATATTCTTATTTGATTTTATTGATATATTTTTAAAAAAACCGAATTTTGAATTTAATTATAGGAACATGTTTTCAAAACAAATTTGTATAATATAGATTACCTACTACTGTAACGTATACTTACTTTGTGAGTAACTAACAGAAAAAAGATGGATTAGTACAAAAAAATTGGAAAAAATGTTCAAAATCATCTTTGGATAAACTGTAACCGATGAAAACTTAATTGCAAAATGAACAACTTTGCATATATTTATTATAATTTATAACAATGATAGTATCGCTAACAAGCTGCAAATTGTACCTTAATTATAATGCAAACAACATTAACAAAAAACTAATTATTCATGAAATTATTTCTATCTGTAGCAGATATAAATAATTTGTTTATTCTTCAATCTACTTAATAACTATCCAAAATTATTATTTTTTTTTTCAACCTTAATTATATTGACCTATAGTTACTCAGTTGTTAAAAATGGGTATCTAATAATTGAAAATTAAATTTTAATTGGTTCTACTCCCCAATTCTCATTTTACTCCATACAAAACAATATAAAGTGTTTATACAGGGTATTTATTTGGGAAACATATATAGCTTATCGGTTACTGAGATGGTTCTGAATTTTTAGTAAACTTGGACATGCAAAAGTCAGCCATGAGCGTAGGACATTAGTGAGAGCAAGAATACTTTGGAATGTGCTGTGAAATACACTTAGAAAGGGCCATATGCAGAATTAAGTGTGATAACATTTTACGATGTGTATCTCACTATTTTAGTGTACAGTAAATGTTCAATTATGTGCTGCTATCCTTTGATAAAAGAAGTTGAATATTATTGTTGATCTTTTTAAATTTTTTATTATACCTTATATATTTTTTTCTACTCTTCATACAGTATTCTGTGAAGAGTATTATAGCTTTTTACTTTGTCCGTCTGTCCGATGTCACTTTTTTTTGTCTGCACGATAAGTCAAAAACGAGAAATGAAAATTTTAAGCACAAATCATGCTATATAAGGGGACAAAGCCTATTGATTTTTAACAAATCTGATTAAAAATGGGAGGTTAAGATGCATTGAAATTAAAAAAAATCCTAAATTAAAAACGAAAAGCAATATCAACATGAAATTTTTAGTAAAAATGAAGCTTTATAAGAAGATAAAGCCTATTGACATTGAAAAAAAATATGGGGGGTTAAAATATAAAAAAAAAATCCTAACTGAAAAACGAAAAATGATATCAACTTGAAATTTTTAGCAAACATCAAGCTCTAAAAGGAGAAAAAGCCCTTTAATTATAAAAAAAATCTGATTAAATATGGGGGATTTAAGGGAGGTTGAAATTAAAAAAAAAAACAAAAATGAAAAGCCATATTAACATGAAATTTTTATTGAAAATCAAGCTCATTAAGGAGATGAGGCCTATTGATTGTGAAAACAATCTGGTTAAAATGGGGGTTAAGGGGGTCTGTTAAACTTCAAAGGATGCACCTCCATAGCGGCTATAACTGCCTCCGTGGCGACGCTAATATTTTCCTAGTAAGCACTGGTAATGTTAGCAAAGTCCACAAATGAATATAATTGTCAATAAAAGAATGAAGTGCAACTAACAATACAAGCATCTAGTAATATTGATTGCCTAGATGTCAGTATTTTTTTACCAAAACACAATTTTATAAATATTCTAGTAAAAATTAGAAAAATATTGTATGTATCACGTTACAAAAGGCCGTTTTAGGTAACTCATTCATGTTTCGGACCTCGCTTTGCACGTCCCGCAGCTATTCACTCGTTATACTAATTTCGCTGGGTCATTTTTTCTCTCCAGCGTTTTAAAGCATGGAGGAAGGATAATTAAAGTAGTACGTAAGTGGGAATGCACGTGCAGGGGTGGGAAACTGGTATGCGCAGGCCTGGGATCAATCAACCACGTCCGCGTGGCGCTGCAGTCGGGTGGTGGGGTAGGTGGTGGGAGTGTAAATGACAGGTGAATATTGATTTTTGTGGGGGTGTCATGGCGTCTTGGCTTAAACCACGGCGCACTATAAAGGTGTTTCAACTCCCTGAAAAAAACATACCAAAACCGGTCGTACTTAGGGCAAAAATCCGCTAGGTTCGCTAGTGTCGTTACGGCGGAAAATTGCGGCAATCTTTTTATCTGTCAGAAAAAGTGCAATCATAAAAATAGTTGGTGATGGTGAAAATTCGAGTTTATATGAAATGAAAAATAACAAAACTATCAGAAGAAGTACAGATGAAAAAATTAATGGTCAACAAATAAGTTTATTGTTATTGATGGTTGCTTATATAAGTGTTTTTTTTTTAAACAAGCTACACTGATGTGTGCGTTTATAGGATCAAAAAAAGTGTTCAAGATTTAATAAATATGCTCCAATTAAGTTACAAGTTGCTGCCAGAGACTTGCTACTAAATAAGTGAAATGGGGGTGTTTATAAAAAACAGCTGATTTTGTTTTGTGTTCAAATATTACCTTTGTTTTGGCAAAAACAGCAATACAGTGGGTTACAGATTATAAAATGAAGAAGTGGACCTTAACTATGGTACTCAGATTGAAGCTTATTATTTTTAAAGTGAGTTTTGTGGTTTTCATTGCCCAGATTAAAGATATTCAATAAACATTTAGTTTTATACCTACTATAATCAAATCCATACATAGTGATTGGAATTACAAACATTTCTGTGAAATAGCATTATACCGGAATAATGAAGTCTCACTGGACTGGAGTATATATGTTTTCAAAGATCAGTAAGTACCTATATCAATTATTATTATTATTTTTATTAATAAGTATCAGTAATAAATACATCTCAAAGAATAACAAGGTTGTAACTGTACTTTTTGGAAAAAATGAGATTGGTAGAATATATTAATTAATTTGTTTTTGTGACCAATATGTTCATCTGTTAATTATCAATGTTGTGTTATCGAAGCACTAAAGTTATTCACATGGTTCTATCTGCATGTACATAGAACTTATACAGTTTTTAGCAAGTGTCATTATAGTAGTTAGATCTTTGTTATTCCCTAATCCCTAGCAAATGTAGTCTCCATCCTCCACAATTATATTAAGATTAAAGGCCAAGTTTTTACCTCTGAATAAAGTTGAAAGTAACTACTTGCTGATTAGGCTATAGATTATACTTATGCGTAACTTTACTCAGAGGTTAAAAAATCTGCCATTAAAAGAACAGTGAGTTTTAGAGCATAAACCGTATTAAATATAATGGGTATTTTTTTATTAAACTTTTTGTTTTTAAACAGTTTTGATTGAAAATTATAAAAAAAATTATAGAGGATACCTAGAAAGATGTATAATATAAAACAACATTTATTTGTATGTATTTTCTGTTCCAAGCCTTGTCTCTGTTACCTAAACTAAATACTAGAAACACAGTTTTAACTGGCAGTTACTACTATGCTTTATCAAATATTCTAAAAAATGTAGGTCGCTTAGTTCTTTCTGCATTTTTTATCACTTAAGATTTTCTCTTAAATTAGAGTTAGAAACACAATGAAAATCAAACAAGTTAATGGCTATACAAACTTCAACTCCAAAAAATAACTAGCTGTCTAGATACAATCTTGTTATCCTAATATGACAGATGTAGAAGATTTATACAAATGTGAAAAACGTTTTATGTTCTGCAATGCTAGATGAAATCTTTAATTAGGCATCAAATTTGTAAAATGTTAGAGATAGTATGTAGGTATATAGGGAAAATAAAAAATATAATTATAATGAAGAGTAAGAACTTTTAAATTTTAATATAACTAGAACAAAATATTCAGTAATTAAAAATTTTGATAGGAATTAAAAATTTGCTCAAGTATAAATGTTGTGCTTGTTTTTTAAGTGGTTTCGATTTACTTTAGGTTTGTTCCAACAATGCTCAGAAATGAGTTACTGACATCAGGATTCTGCACAGTAGTTTATTGAGACTGCAAAATTGTGTACTACCCAGTGGTTTGTTTCTGATCGTTGGAACAGACCTTTTATTCAATATAGGTATAATCAAACAAGTTAAATGTGTATTTGGATTTTTTTTAATTTTACAAATCTGGAGCTTGAATATGGATTTTCAAATGATGCACTTTTTGTAGTTTTTAATAATGCTTATTTTTTTTTAGTTTCTTGTTCATTTAATAAAGATGCTTTTTTGTATATGGGGTGATAATTTTTAAGCAGAGGCGTGCAGCACCCACAAGATCACTGCCAGAATTAATTCAAATGGGTAATCTAAAAATATGGAGTAGGTTCCCTGCACAAGATTTTCAAGAACTTGTAAATACAATGTTTTAATGAATTATTGCCGTTATCAAAGTTAAAGGTGATGAAACACTCATGAAAATTTGTAAATATTTAACCCTTTCAGTGTATTTGTCCCTCCAGAGGGACACTCTTAATTAACCCTAAAGTATAAATCTGTTAATTTTGGTAGAATTTTTTTCTTTTTGGTTTATTTGCTTTATTTGCATTACTTTTAAGGATTAATATTATAAAAAAATTATTTTCATAGTAAATTTTTGTTTTTGTAATGTCCCTGAACAGGGAGTAATAAAAAATACTATGAAAATATTTTAATTTACTTAAAATAAACAAAGAAAACATACAATCTACTACAATGGTATTTTTTTTAATGAAAGTGGAAGTGAAAGGGTTAAAAAAATAAAAGAATTTATCAGATTTATGTATGATTTGTTCTTGTAGTGACAGTCACTATAAATATGAGAAGTGTGCTAATTGAAACGGGACAGGGCTCATATAGTTTTATTTAAAAAGTAAACCTTGTCATTAATTAAATATAAATGATTATTATATTATATTATTGAAATATATAATGTAAAACAAATTGTTGTAATGTTTTTCTGAAATCAGAAGTGTTGCCAGGTTTGTTACTGTCTGCTGCTGTGACGTGTACAAGCGAACATAATAAACCTACTTATTGAGTACATTAATATAAAAAACTCATAATAAATCTGGAAACTATACATTTGAAATTTTCCTACTTATTTTTTCATTACTGCTATTATCCAATAGAACAATTCCTATGCTTTTATTTAATATTTCATTTTCCACAAATAAATATAAAAAAATAATTAGTAAAATTATAAAATTAGTTCCAATTAAATAATGAACTATATTATTAATTGAAATTGTTAATATAAGAAATGAATAAATTAAGAAAATAAAAGTGTGATAATGGGAAATGTGTAAATTGTATTTATTTCTAATTTTAAATAATTTTGTGTGTATTGTTAATTTTCTTTCTAGTGTAAAATGAATAAATTAATAATTTTAACAAAAATTTAATGAGATGTTTTATTTGTGTTAGAATCCGAATACAATAAGAATGCTGCTGTCATAATGATTACTCTGAATTTCTAATACATAGTATCTATAACTTATCAATAAATAAATATTAAGTTGTTAGGTATAAAAAAATATTTCCTATATTCCTAAAAGATTAACACTTCACCTCCAGTGGATAACTTCGATAACTGTATCAGCAATACTTTCCACATTCTCGTCTCCTTTGAGAAGTAGTCCCATCATAAGTAATAAAAGCAGGAACAGCATTTTTTAGGTAGTTTTTTTTATATTTGCACTGCACATTAAATAATGGTAATCTTATAATTGAAGGGTCTGGAAATGCACCATTCTTGTTCCGGCTAGTTCTGATAGTTGGAATTGTAACATATAGTTGCAAGGTTATATTTAATTATTTGGAACCAGGGAATAAGCATATTGAAATAACTTTTACTTTTTATCATGTATTTATCAATTTTTTCATCAATTAAAAATAAAAAAATTGTAGATTTTCAATTAATAGGATCGTTGTATCAAATTCTAGACTTCATTCAGTGCGGAATGGTGTGAATATGCGGATTTCTAGACTCCTCAACTACAAGATAACCTTAAATAATTATTGGGTACATCAGAAAAAACATTGTTTAAATTATTAACCAGTGTATGTACAAATTATTCAATACACAAATACCAACATCTACGACCCCAAACTACATTTATTTACTTAAAGGGATTAACTCCTATAAAAATACAGAATTGAAAAATCTTAAATATTTCTTACAACTCAAATTTGTATTAATTTAAAATCAGTACTTCTATAAAAACCTAGTAAATACATTTAAAGAACTGGAACAAAACACATTCGGGGATGATTATTATTAAACAAATGTATATTTAAACACTTGACAATAAAAAGGCTACAAGTAAAATAAATTTATCATAGTATCTATTTAATTCTTATAACCAGATACAACTTTCTAGCATTATAATCAGGCTAAAAGGAATAAGTCAAAGATTTTATTTATTCACAGGGTCAGAAAAATATCAAAAGAAATAGGTACCTTGTGTATATGAAATAAATACCATGAACACATTATAATAGGGTCCAAGTCATAACATTATTAGTACCAAGGGGACAGGATAAATAATACGAAATATTTATATAGTAAAACTTTATACTAATAATTATTTTTATTACAGAAAAGACAAAGTTGAATAACCTATTTACATAACCTACAATCATTTAAAAGGTAGACATTAAACATATTTACTTGAAAAATAACGTTTCCTAGTAGATTTCTTAGCACTTTTTCACGGATAACATAATTTACATTAAAATGTTTTTCACAAATGGAACTTTTGGGTTTAATGTTTATTTCCATACCACCTAAATAATTGCACCATATTCTGTATAACTGTTTTTTGGCATTATAAAACTGCTATCAATATGTTGAAGACTCTCTCCCATAATCACAATTAAAAACAGCTCAACGATCCACCATGATTTATATATTTTTAGATTTTAAAAAATATTTATCTGTCAACACTTTTCAAATTGCAGCTCCTACCACCTTCATCTTTTATTTACTTTCTCGCCGGATAGATACTAGCGAACCTAGCGGATTTTAGCTAGGAAGTACGATCGGTTTTATCGCCGTTTTCATTTGTTTTTAAATAGGAGTTGATACACCTTATAGTACACCGTGGCTTAAACCAAACGTGAACTTTGTTTATATTGGTGACTGTTGTACTCAGTTGTTTTCATTTCCAATTTGCTTAATTGATTTAGTTGACCACTGTTAATAAGCTTGTTTTTCCATTATAAATTTGTGCTTTTTCCGCTGTTATTTTGTGGTTTTTCATAAAGATGCGTAATTATAGAAAATGTTGTGTAATGAATTGCCTTGTTGTGGACAACAAGATGCATCGCCTGCCTCACCCTACGAATTCACCCGATTTATTTGATATTTGTGCACTTGCTGTTCGTTGTCCAAGATTTAATAATAAAACAAGACTACAAATTTATTCCACCTTTGTAGTATGTCATAAACATTTTGAAGAGAAGTATAAAGTAGTTGGCTCTCGTCGAGGTCTAACACCTAAAGCATTTCCAACGCTATTCCTACCAGCAGTTCCAGGAAGAGTAGCGGATGGACTTTCCTCAAATAACGTAGAAATTGAATATGTTGATCAAACACCTTCTACTTCAAGTAAAGGTTCGAAGAAGAAGCAGACTAATAATATATGTTGGACTTCTTTTCGAGAAGGAAAGTTAGTACTTATTTATTTTATACTTATTGCTGTGTTTGAGAATCCACATCAGATGCATTTTTTACATCTCGAGCGTTTTTTTATCCACATACCTATATATAAAACGTTTATTTAGTCAAAAAAACTATTTTTTACATGTCAATACATAAATATAGAATCAACATACATTTAAAATGCAATAAAAAATACATAAGATACAGTACACTTACATGTCAACTATACAAAACAATAAAAGAACAAGAAAGAGAAAAAAAAACGTCAATAGGTGAACAGGTATTCATGCAGTTTTATTTTAAATATTGCCACATTTGAAGAACATTTAATATCCTCAGGCAAATTATTAAAAGCCTGTACACCTTTAAAAAACACTGAATTTTGTGTACATTTTTCTTGTTACCTGTTTAGGTTCATGAACATCCTGATTATAACTTAAAATATTTTGTAAATATACTCGGGAGATTCCTGATTTAATTTTAAATATAAAAAGCAGGGAATAGAATAGAAAATATTTTTAACAGTCAACCACTGAAGCACATTCAACATGGAATTGATTGGTTCCAATCTCGAGCAGCTCAGTATTATCCTCAGACCTCTATTCTGCAACTTTTGCAATCATTGCAACTCATTTTGGTTGAGCAAATACAGTATAGTGGCACAATAATTAAAATAAGGTAATATTAAGAGTATTATAAATTATTATTTTAGTCCATTTGCTGAGATGTGGAGAACAGCGCCTCAAATAGTTTATTTTAAACCGGACACATCTGTCCCATTACATTTACGTAAACTGAATCACGTGATCAAAGATTTACTACATCTCAGTTGCATCCGATGTCGATTCTTAAACGCGGCATATACTGTGAAATTTGTGTTTCATGACGTTTGGGGTTGCAAAGCTGTATCGTAGATGTTGGACTTATTAAAAAATAAAGTATTCCTCGGACTTATAATTTTTTATTAATACATTTATTTTAATGAGATTGTACTTATACTGTCTTTCTTTTTTCACAGCTAAAGTTCTTCACAAAATGATGGACAGTGTTGTATCCTGGAATATGTAGCAGCCATCCAGCTACTTCATACATAATACAATTTTCATATACATTACATTTTTTAAATATTGGATTTGTATTATATATATATTCTTTAATAAATTTATTTTTTGAATATTCTTGTTTTTTTTTTATCTAAAAACTGTTAGCCAAATTAAGATTTGTTCACACAAACTGCATTTTTGCTTTATTATAGCGATATTCGCTATAATAAAGCAAAAATGCAATTTGTGTGAACAAATCTTAATTTGGCTAACAGTTTTTAATGCGGATAATTTTTACTGTCAAATTTGAATAGCCCCGCGCTTTTCTTCTCTTCTTCTTTTTATTATTTTCTCTTCTTTCATATGGCCTCTTACCAGACAAGGACTTAATTGAAAAAAAATCAACCACGTCCACCAGGTGCCGCTAAAAACTCTATCATCCTTTTTTAACATGGGAGATACCGTTCTAAGAGTAAGTGTTCTGTGTGCACGTGATACCAAAATAATGGCGACCAATTGATAATCGGCACAGAATGAGTGCTTGATATACTTGTTACGCGTCCTCTCTGTTTCCTTCTCTAAGATTTCTACCCTTAGAGCATTAAGTTTCTACTATAAGATGTATTTTGAAAAAAATGTCGACGTTCATCAGCACAAAGCCATCAGGCATCCAAAAATATTAAAGAATTTTGATGTTATTTGATTAAAAATTAACATTCTGTATTCTTTTTAATATGTATTTCTCTACTCTAAATAATGACAAAAGTAATAACTTGTTTGCTCTAGGACAGAAAAATATTTTTTGTTTTTCAAAGATACGAAATTGTAACTTTTGTCGTATACCTGAAACCTAATAGTCTGAATAGCCTCATAGTAAAAGGTAAATGTGCTTCAAGAAAAGATGTTGATTTTGATTTGAAAATGTCAAAGTGACGTCAAAATGTCAAATTTCAATATCATCTTATCAACAAAAGTTTATAAATAAGGGGGTGTGGTGGTGGTGTCAATAAAATTTACAAATGGAACCTATAAATATACACAAGTTTGCTCCAGAATTGCATAGAAAGTATTTGTCATTTATTTTAAATGGAAAAATGCCGTCTTCACAAAGCACCATGGACACCAACAGGTAAAACTTGATGTTATACCCTATCGGAGATAGTTTTACAACTATTTAGATTTTTAGATCAATCCTTATGTATTTTGCTGTATCTGGTTTAGATATACTCGGAGAAATAGAAAATATTCCTAAGGAACGAATAAAGTCAATTATCGATTGGATATATTCCTTACAGGTGGTCAATAATGAAGGTAAATGTTATTGTTGTGTTAAATTCATTAAAGACCAATTTATTTTACAGATTTAGTTAGTGGATTTCAAGGATCAACTACTTTAAATACTTTAGAAAATAAAAACCAAGGTAGTAATTACAAATGGTCTCATATAGCCAATACATATGCATGTCTATCAACACTTTTAATACTAGGAGATGATTTGGGAAGAGTTAATCGACAAGCCATTTTAGATAGTAAGCTTTTAATATTAAAATTTAATAAAAGTTCTTCCAAACCTTTTATAATAAAAAGAATTGGTGATATTAGTTTATAACAATTTTGAGGTTTGAAAACATTACAACTGCCTGATGGATCTTTCAAGGGAGCAAAAGAAGGAGTAGAGAATGACATGAGGTTTGTTTATTGTGCAGCTTGTATTTGTCATATATTGGACGACTGGAGTGCTGTGAAAGTAGAAGCAATGGTAGAATTCATTCTTAACAGCATAGTAAGTAATTCTAATGTAAATTTGGCATAAAATTACAGATATGTTAATTTTACTTCAATTCTAAAAAATTTGCAAAACGAATACTAATGAAAGCAGATATGTGTAATCAATGTCTACACATGTTCCAATTTTGCTAAACCATTAGGCGAATAATTTTTTTTTTCTTGTAAATTATAAAAAAAATGAATCATCATCATCAGTTAAGAGTTGCAAATTTACACAGACATCAAAGGTAATTTCAGTGATTATACTGATATATTAATCAACAGAAATTAAATACTTTGCCATACTCACAAGTTGGGTTATCATATTCAAAAATACAGTTTCCTGACATAACTAATGAAAAATCTGAACATTTCTTTAAAAATCTGAACAAAATAAAACTCCAACCTCCAACAATTTATTAAAAAACTATAATTTTAGCAGCCAAAAGAAAACTATGTGCAGACTTTTTCTGATGTCTGGTAACCTTACTCGCAAAACTTATAGCTATGTCACATTTTTTGATTGTATAACATTAAATTAATTTAGTTTTTTTACCATTTTAATAATGTGTCAGACCACAAAAGAGTTGCAAAATTCCCTAGTTTCGATTCATTCTAGTATTTACATTGCTGTGAAGTTTAAAACAAAGTTAGAATTTATGTTACATTTTTCAACCACTTATTGCCCTATAAATGAGATTGACAATAATATGGTATGAAAAGATCTATATGCAGGACCGTTTTCGTGTTATTTAGGTACAACTGAAATCTTGGATTTTCCTTTTTTCCCTATCATTTTTAATTATCAACATACTGAAAAATATTTGTTTTTGGTTACATTATTTCTTAAAAACTAGGTAGGTATTTGTAGAACTACCCTCTTGTCAATTATTTTAAATTTAGACTTTGAATTTCCCAACCCATTAAATAAATGCATCAACTGCTGGTCTAGAAGACCTGACAGAGCTAAGTAGTCAAAACAAAGAGACCATAGTTCAGGTATGAAGGATATCAGAGCAATGAAAAGGCCAATGAACTAACCCAAGAAGGCTCAGATATGGCAGTGACAGGCCTCGAACCTGTCTGTGGAATTGTGGAAGGCAGTATTGCCAGAATATATTTTTGTTACCAGATTTGTCTAAAAAATGTACCAGATTGCATAAAAATGTACTAGATTCTGTAAAATGTAGCAGATTTTTGAATTAATTGTGATGTGGTTTAGTTCATTAAGAAAAAAGGGTTTTTAGCGAACGAAAAAAAAAAAAAAACAAGGAGCAAGATGCTAACAATATATTTTACATGCATCAAATGGTAACACGCTAAAAAGATAAAGGTACAAGATTTTGTTACTGTACCAGATGCTTAGAAAATGTACTAGACTGGCAACACTGGTGGAAGGCATCCTTCAAACAATGGATTCAAAAAGAGTATTAAGAATGATGGAACAACTAACCAGAAAAGATTGGAATCCTGTATCTACCTGAGCAAGAACAGGCTACACATTTTAACAGGGATCCTTATCGGGCCAACTCAAAGAACACCTTAGTAAACTGAGAGTAGTAGAAGATAGTGAGTGCAGATTCTGTGAGGAGGAGGACGAAACCTCTATTTATTCACATTCTCACTAAATGTGTAACACTCCTGAATTCAAGCACACTATACTTTAGAAGAATACCAAATAGAACTTGTCACTCTAAATCCTACACTTTCTTGAAAAGATAGGATTGAAAGGGTCATTATAGTCCTCAATGCATTAGTGAAAGAAGGGGGAACAACTGATCTTTAGGCTGCAGTGCATTAATTCCACAACATACTGGACACTGTCATCAAAGAAGGCACATGAGTGTGATAAATCCAATAGAAGAGGCAACATTATGTAGATTCTGTGAAGAAGAAGAGGAAAGAAACATCAATCTTAGTCCTGTGTGAAGGCCTGACTAGACTGAGGTGACTAAAAGCCAGATGCATGTAACTACTGGCAAAGCTACTAAGTCTAATAAAAAAACACCCAAGCTAGACGACGTACTCTAAATAAGGGGTAAATTCGGGAGAGTATTATTATTATAGATCTGAAAAGGTCGCAGCAAACAAGGACACATAATGTCGCAACTTCTTTTGAATCTAATCTATAGGATTTAGAAAAAGGTTGTAAAACCTGTTTGGCTTTAAATACCTCTTTTATCTCATTTAACCAAAACTGCATATTTAACCATTAATGAAATACTTTTGCAACCTTTTGTGCTGAAAAACAGCTACAACTCACTTGACTAAACTGATGTCATCAAAGTAACATTAAAGTGTCATAAAAATCACCAAGAACTGTCATTTTCATTAAATTTTTTGTTTTGACAAGTCACGTGTGATGTTGACTTGTTATAATGGAATGACAATGTATATTATTATTAATTTAACAAAAACTTAAAAATGGCCTGGGCAATAAAATGGGTTAAATTACTTTGAACATAGCTTGTAAATAGATAAACCAATAATATGAATAACTGATTATGAAGCAGTTTTACTTGATAGGTAAAAAAATAGGAAATAATTTTCATAGCTACATCATTTATAAAAAACTTTCCATTATTTTTGTGTAAATTACTCATTTATTCTTTTGCAGTCCTATGATGGAGGTATAGGCCAAGGTCCAGACCTAGAATCCCATTCTGGCTCAACTTTCTGTGCTATTGCCACTCTAGCATTAAGCAACAATTTAGATAGGTTAACTAAAGCACAGTTTGTAGCGTTAAGAAGATGGTTGTTGTATAGATTCGATGGAGGTTTTAATGGAAGACCTAATAAGCCAATAGACACTTGCTACTCGTTTTGGACAGGAGGATCACTAAATATCTTAGATGCTTATGAATTTATTCATAACAAAAATAACCCTCAGTTTGTTCTAATGACACAAGACAGGTAAACATATGGTGTATTTTTATGAGTAAGTAAAGCTATACAAGTTATTCATCTACAAAAACCAATTATAAATTTAGGTTTGCAAAAATTTTAGATATTACCATTCTCTTACTATGAATGTAAGTCAATAATTATTATCTATCATACATTAATTATAACCAAATAATTGGAAAATTCCTTAAAAATCCAGAAACCCATAGTAATTCTGTTATGTCATTTACTTACCTTATAAAACTTATATTTTTAGACATGGAGGTTTTTCAAAATGGGGACACGTTGTACCTGATCCTATGCACACATACCTTGGCTTAGCTGGACTAAGTTTGATGGGATTTGGTGGATTAAATGAAATGAATTGTGAATTAAATATAACCAAAAGAACATCCGAACATCTTAAAAATATTCAATGACATACACAATAAATAAATATAGTTTAAAAAAGTAGTTTTATTTTTTACCAGAAAAATTAAATTTGTAGCTGTAATGAAGAAACTGTACAAATGTGGCCATCTTAAAAATGTATAAATGATACTCAAAATCAATCTCACACAAATAGTTTAATATTTAAATTACATGGCAACCGGTTTCGGCACTAAGGCCATCTTCAGACCGAAAAGGAATAAAGAAAATAGCTCACATGTTACATAACCAATTACAAAGTAATTTAAATGGTGTGGGATTGATTTTGAGTATCATTTCTTAAATAATTATTATTATTCTGATGCACAACCCAATGCTGCTGTGAAAAGGTGACATAATGCATATGCTACAGGCACATTATTTGTTCTTTAATATTTATTTAGTTTATAACATTGTATTCTTTTAAGGTTTGACTATTTTAAGATGAATTTGTTACAGAGTTTTTCTCTCATTTTTAACTAACAGGTATCTGGACCTGAGTATTAAAAGCCAATCTCATTTTTTGCTCCTTTGGAAAATACTCAAGCTGAATACCATGTATACAAAAAAGGACAAAGTGTGTGCAGAGAACTTGCAGTCTCATCTACTTGTTACTTAAAAATGACCAATATCCTTATAGTGTGGATATTGGCCCTAAATGTGAACATCTCAACTTAGCTTTAAAATCCATAAATGCATCTCTCATGTCAACAAAACAACTGAGGAGTAAGGAGCAAATAAGTGATTTGGCTAAAAAACCGTATGAAAACAATCGGTACTATCTCCATTGACACGTTATTAAGAAGGCTAATCTCCATCTAATTCATGAAATACTAAAAACTGATTAAAAATAACAACTGTAATACTACAATTTTTATTACTTATGTAATTGACCCGAAGAAAATTGATGAATACAAATAAATTATTATTATGATTATTAAATCAATTTTAACTTTTTTTTTTATCTCTATTTTCTTTCGACGTTATTCAGTAATTATTGGTTACTTATAAACCTCTACTAAAGATACCCATAAAATATTTTGCTGAATATCCGAATTCTTCTATATCTTGGACGGACATTTGGTTGGGTATCCATATTGGATATACACAAAGTATATTCTGTGGATATCTCTGGGATTTCTTGTATTGTCTGGAAGGTACCCATTAGATATTTTGCTGGATATCTTCTATATTCTGGATATAGACGGACATTTGGATATCCATATTAGATCCACGGAATATTCCTGATATCCTGTGGATATATTGGATATTCACAAAAGATATTCTGTGGATATCTTTGGGATTTGGTGTGTTGTCTGGGGGTATTCGTTTTTCAATTAGAAAAACAAGTTCTCCGCTTAATGAAAATTAAATAGATTTCAAAAAAATCAGTTGGGGCAATAACGATTTCTGAATGTGACTACAGGGAGCTAAATGTGACCACTCAAAATGCATTTAACTATGTATGTGGCTATTTAATCAAAAAATCATTACATATCCACTCTTGCGAAATTTACGTAAATTTCTCAGAAGAATGCAATTTACTTAACAATTCTAACTTGTTAACGCATTTTAAAGTATACTACTCTGAAGAAAAGGTGTTTGGCAATTTAAAATCTCCCAACGAAAAATTTCTCTTTTATATTTTTAAATTAGAAAAAATATTTATATCTCTATTTGATAGTTTGTCAACTAAGCCTAGAATTTCCAACGCATACCTTTTTGAGATGAGCAAAATAGAATTTGGTCATCCTTGCCAACAATTTGCGAAAATGTACACCATTAAATTATTTATAAGACTCAGAATTTTTTATATTCTTAAATATGCAAACAGAGATTTGAAATCCTCGAAAAAGTCAGACAAAACCAAAAGAAAAATTATTATTGATTTTTTTTCATTATATTTTTGACTGCTTTATAACAAAAAGTTATTTTTCTTTGTAGTTTTATTTATTAACTATTCCAATGGTCCAACTAACATTTTTTCGTAATCACAATAAATAATTATCATGGTCCAACAAACGCGCACCTTTAGCCGAAACCGGCATGGCCGGTAAAGATGCCGCTGCGTACATTCGTATCTGGTCTAGGTAATCTGTGCCAAGGGCACAGCAGTCACAATGAGGACAGCACATAAGAGAAAATCAAAGTACGTCGGACAGCGCCCTGCTTGTGACGTATAATCCATCACATGTGTTCATCTCTTGCTAAGCGATATTGTCGTTGTCCTTGTTTTTCGCATCATAATGAGAGAGAAAACAACAGGCACACAGTGTGCCCTTCCACTTAATTTCGGAAGTCTCGGAACGTCGCTTAACGCCCGGTCGTCCAGTGTCGTGCCAACGCGGTTTGCGCTGAATATTAGATAAAAAAAATAGGCATTGAGGAAAATATAAAATATGTAAGTTATTTTTTTTTTGGTTTATTATACTAGGACACGTTTACAAGTGCCCTTACGGGCAAACCGCCACTGTTTTAACAATGACCTTTAATGTCCTTCAAATAATATAATTTTGGTTAAGTATTTATAAAAGACCTAAAATTTTATGATAGATTTTAGCATTTTCCAAGGGAAAATTTTTTTGTGGTGAAATGTTATGTATTGTCGGTGAATTGTTTGTTGCGGAATTTTCCCATTGGGGAATGTTCCAGTTGGGGAATATTCCATCTGGGAATTTTCTTGATACCATAAAAACAGACCCAATCTCTCCTGATAAACTTTTCCTTTTATCTATTCATTTATTTAATAATACATTGGATAGTCATATAAACTAAAAAAGTCTCTTATTTTAAATAATTATAACTCTGATAATAAATCATAAATTATTTTCTGAATTAACCATCTTCTCAGCTTCTTGTAATACCTTATTTAACCTTTTTCCTATTAACTTAGGATACGTGTTATTTTTGATTCTAAATTCCTTGCTTTGATGAGATACAGCACCATTTTTTAATTGAAACTCACACATGGCTTTAAGGGGAGCTAGTAATATTTTTTTGTAACTAGTATTGTTTTCTAGGAGGCTTAAACTCAAAGCAGCAGTTTCTATTGTGCTTAGACACCCATCTGTAGGTTGAGTTCTTATAATGTAACTACTTGTATCATGGTCAAGAAGCTTAACTTGCCTCATTGAATGTAAAATTGGACTTGCGGTATAAATTGCTTTTGCTTGAGGCCAGGTACCATCTATTATCACTATATTATATGATTCTTGAGTGTCACTATGTCCTACTTGTTTGATATCTATTGCTTTGCTACTAGGATATAATAATATTGCATTTGGGGTAGTTAACAGTTCTTCAAGGATGGTATATTTTCCTGGAAAACGTTTTCCTTTAAAAACAAGACATTTTGTTGGTTCTAAACCTAACTGTAACATAGTAGCAGTCCTAAGGCACCTTTTTTCTTCAGCAGGATGTTGTAAAAGTATAATTTTACTTTTTGGCGACATGGGTGGAACTGGTAACCAACTACAGTAGCATACTGTAGAGGGACGACTGAAATCATAGTTATACTTCATGAAAGTTATTTTATTTGATAGCAAATTTAAATATTACTTACTGGCATTTAAGGCAAACATCTCTCATTATTGGGGGATCTGCATGTATTGAAGCCAAATCGGTGAAAGCATCAGTTTCATCTAGCATTTTGAAAATTAATATCTAGCGATTTAGAAATAATTAAGCCTCTTCATATCACAATGTTTCATTATTATTACTATTCAATTTAAGATATAAACATTTATTTCAAATAATGCTAATCATTTGCAATACGAATCTATATACATATCTATTATTTACATTCAGTTCGTTTAATACAGGGCTGGTATATCTAAGGGGGTCGCGACATAGACCCAGTAAATGGATGAGGGGGTGACTGAGGCTAGGGGGGAAATAGTAGTCAGCTTAAGTTGGCAACACTTTTCTGACGTTCGTTTGAACGAGCATCGTGCATAATAATGTCAATATGGTACAAGTGGAATGAACCACTGTTTTCCTCGTAGTCCAATGTCGAATTAAAACTAAAAACATTTTGTACTTTTTAATATACCAAATTATGCAATTTGTTTCCACTTTATTTTAATGTTACATGAATAGGTACATGCGTTTGTGCTGTGGTAAATAAGTGTTCATGCGAAAATGATCTCTTAAACTACCTTGTGATTGTACTCATCTCAAAACTGAATGCTGTAAATTTAGGATTTAAATCTTTCATAGTGTTGCTTGGGATAAATTGTAAAAAAGGTGTTGGACAAAACGTTTACAACCTAAAATTGCATGAAAAACATGGTAGAAGAAGGAATTTTACCTTTATGACATTCTCTTTCAACATTTTTAAGTGACTTTGTGGTTTGGTGAATGGACTGTTACCACAGTCAAAAGATTCAAAGTAAAAAAAAGAATAAGAATACATAAGTTGAATATGAAAATGTAATTACTTGATTTAAATGTGATTTAATTAAGAGTTAAATAGAGGTTTCATATAAACAAAGTGCTGTAAAATGTTAATAAATGCAAAACCATTATTAAAGAGAAATTAGTTATCATCAATAAGATATTTTGTAGTAGCTGGTCTCTATAAATAATAAACTTGAAAAACTGAATTAGTAGTCACTTTTACACTAGAAGAAAAAAAAATGTGTGGTTGAGACTAATTTATGTAATTAATAAAAACATATTTAACATAAAAGCAGGTGTTATTTGAAATGTTTTATTTTAATAATCTTTATAAATTGTGGGTACATTTGATCCGAATCTTGCAAATACTATAAAATGCATATGCTTCTATATGGTTAGTATTGGAGTAGAAGCACAAAAGTTTTGAATAAAAATATAGATACCGGAATATTTTGCTTGATTACTAAACTTTGGATGTTTTTGTTGTAGTCTGCTGTTACTATTGTCCTGAAATATTAAAAAAGCTAGACAAAGGTTTGTCCAACTCTTTTGTCAGCTTTGTTAATCTATGCTACTGATATTCTGCATGCAGACATTTTTTACTGGAGATTTTCTCTAAGAACTGTATTCAGTTTCAAATTTCGGCCAGTTTTAGGAAAATACCTCTGTTGTAAAGGTATTTCAAATCCATCCTTTGTAAGATGTAGACAATAAATACATGCTAAAATGTATAGAAAACAAATTGCAAGATATTACACAAAATTATTTAAATTAACTAAAAACATACAAATGAAGTGAATAATACCTACCAACAATTTAAAAAGACCTAAAATAAATAGATTTAAGGGACTGGAGCTCTAAAAAAGGGAGCAATAATTTGTTATGCATCATCTATAAGAAAATTGTCTTCATCTCTTCAATTACCTTTTAAAATAAACAAAACTAAAACAGCACAAAATTGAAAGTGATCTACTTTTCCCGACGTATTTTATGTACATCTGAGATTAATAATTTATTAAATTGAAATATTTTATCCTAAAAAATATGGGCATTTTATAATGGAAATGTCATTTAAGAAATGACATTGATTTTTTTTCTTATATTGGTAAACCTGGCGACTACAAGTTGCCACGTTGCCAGATCAATGGCGACTACTATGTGACTACTATTTCGAAAAAAATGGCGTCCAAAATGGACTCCTATGTCGCGACCCCCTTAGATATACCAGCCCTGCGTTTAATATAAATTTATGTGGTTAGAAATTTCTTCTTTTTTAGTATCTTTTGAGCAGAACAAATGGCTAGCCTTGTAATGGTCTTCAACTATACTTGTAATCGTTTCACTTTTAAATTTTATATTTTTTAAATTCAAAAGTGTATGCATAATTAAATTCTGGTCTGTAGAATATTACTGACTGTGAGTTTTTATATGTTAATTGCTAGTGTGTTTTTTTCATGATGACTTTTATACATGAAAAAAATCTGTTTTTGATACATAGTTATATATATATAGGTAAAGAATAACTGATATCTCAAATGGAATACCCTATGAGTATTACAGATCTTTATATCTTTTGTCAAAATATATTACCTAGTTCCGTCAATATTTGTTCATTGCACAACGAAAAAATATAACTTAGTAATTTTAATTAAAACTCGAAAAATTCAAGCATGAAGAGTAACTAGTTCATTGAAAATAAGACTAATAATAATTGTAATACTGAATTAACATCGTAACAACTGTTTTAAACAACAACCAGTAAACGAAAATGGGCAACACCATAAAGAATTACTTTTCTAATATCTCCAATACAATAATTATTACAAATAAGGTTGTACTAAAATAAATATTGATTTAAATTCCTAATTGTTTAATTCATTATAAAATGAACATTTCAAACTTTCTTTCTAGAAAAATTGCACAGGTAAAGGTTCTAATTACAATTAGCAGAACATCGCTACGTCATAACCATTACTTCGAATACATATCTATAACTATTAATAAAAAAAAAATAAGATGTAAGGTATAAAAAAATATTTCCTATATTCCTATAACACTCCATTAAACTCCCAGTAGGCGGCGATTACTAATTAATTACTTTGCCAAATGATGATGTCCCTTCTAATTGTAATCAGACCCTACATACAAATTAATTTAAATATTTCAAATAATAATATAAATTTAGAATTTTATTTAAAAAATAGTACAATACTATGTATTATTACTTATAATTAGACACTTGAAATTAGAATAAAACTAACAAAGTGACGACACCATATACCATCATACATGGATATGCAATAAGAGGTTGTTGTTGTTTATCTCCAGATACAGCAATAAATAAACGGGATGCTGAAAAACTTGACCAAATAACAGCAATTATTGCCAAAACCAATCCCACAGGACCACTGAGCTTAAATATAATTCCAACAGCAGATAATGCTAGAATTGGTATCAAACAATATCCTAGAATGCTACCTACAGTACTTAAAGTAAACGTTCCGCTCGTAGGAGTCATTAAAGATAGTAGAAAATACATCAGAACACATGAAATCATTGAAATACCATAAATATATCCAAAATGAGCATTTTTTCCAGCTAAGAATAATGCTACTGCCAGCAGAAGGCAAAACACTATTGGACCAACTAAATCAGAATCCTTTGTAAGATATTCTGCATCGTCAGCTAAACTGTGTCCTCGTAATGGATTCAAAACGGCCAAAATTTTTTCTAAAATCCTATCTGGATATATTTCTAATTCTTCTAATAGAGGAGGTTCATCAAAATCATCTACACCTTTTGCTGCATTGTCAAATTGTTCTGGTATTAACATCTGTGTAGGGTAGTTTGAAAAATTCTGATCAGTAAATTCATTATTTGTGTTAAATTCTAAAATGGAAAAACATCAGTCTATACTACTATCTGTTAAAAATTGTCTTTTTGTACTAACCTAATTGTTGATTTTGAAATTGATTATAGTCTTGTTCATAATAACCCTGATTGACTTGTGGTGCATTTTGTTGTTGCCAGTAATATTCACTTGGTTTAGGATTAATGTAATCTCCCATAATTAATTTATTTTATTTTTAAATTGCCATTTGATGTCTAACCTTTAAATGACGTGTTGATTGTTGAATGTTGACCGCTCGCTGTGTCAATTTTGATATAATGGTCTAAGTCAGATACTGCAGCCAGCCACTAAAATAATTTTATCTGCCAAATGAGTTGCCTAATTAAAGGGGCAAAAAAATTGCACTGGCTTCTTTTGAGACTAGCGTAAATTATACGTATTTTACACTGTTTTGACTCATTGGAATGTTAGATTATAACGGGGGCCCCTGCATTAGGGTGGTTCAAATAATATCTTAAGGATAGGAAGGTTGTCAAAAATATAAAAATATTGAGGAAGGTAGATCTGTAGAAATAACATCTAATATAGGAATACCTCAGGGAAGTATAGTAGGTCCGTTGTTTTTTATTATTTATCTGAATGAACTAAACAGCGTTATGATTGCTAATGAGAACTGTGTGCTAACCAATTATGCAGACGACACAAAGATCTTAATAATGCATCTGATATGATGGAATTAACCCTAAATGCAGAGAGATAACTAAAGCTAAAAATGGCTTGAAATAAATAAATTAATACTCAATGAGGGCAAATCAAATGTGGTACTTTTTAAAACTAATTACAACAGAGATGAAATGCCAATAAATATTCAACTAAACAACTGTATATTTAAGGTCTCAACTAGGCAGTATTACCAAGTTTCTAGTGCTATATACTATACTGATAGTTTTCAGAACCTACTGGGAAGGCCATGTTGAGTTTGTATGTATTCGCTCCGTGCGCGACAGCAGCGCCAATTCGTTTTTGGTATTAATGGACTATTTCTGCGTATACTGACAAATGCAATTTTTAATAGAATTCGTAATTAAAAAGTATATATGTTAGTTTTAATAAAAGTATATGGATTTGTAAAACAAGCAAAACATTAATTTATTATTATTATATATTTTTATCTCTTAAATTAAAGAAAATTATGTAAAATCAATGAATAATAAAATAAAATATATGAATATATGAATAATAAAATATAGGCAGGCAACAGTATTTACTGGAAAATGTATAAGAAGTTGCCTAAGTCTAATAAGTTGTCATTGAAGAAAAATTCTGTCAAAATAAAAAATATCATTTAATAATAGCGTGAAGTTAAAATGTATAAAAAAAGGATCGTTATTTATATTTTCATTTTTGCTGAAAACAAAACAGAATGAATGATTAAAACTGGTTTCCCATCAGTAAGTTACAAAATTGTATTCCAGCCACATATAATAATATGTAATAATAATCAAAGGCAGAAATCTTGAAATCTAGTCCTTGCTGAATGAACATTTAGGAATAAAGGGATATTAAAGAACATCGTAAAATGATAATTTATTGTTTATTTAAAACCTTTCAAGTTTCTGATGTCTACTATTTCCAGCATTACTGTTATTATTACAAAAATAAAGGTAATTTTTCTTCATATTGTACACCTATCCATTTATTTCTTTGATTTAATTTCTACTTTGCTACTGAAATTTTTTATATAAGTTTCACTTTTTTTTTTGCTAGTATTTGTACAATTTTCAACACAGCAACTCCGGTTGCTTACTGTATTGTTTTCACCTACTTTTTTGAAAAAAAGTAAAATGTATACGTGTATTTGATATGCCAAAATTACAAAATATCGCCCTAAAATGCACGAATTATCCGCAGCTAACGCTAGTATCGCTTTTGTTTCCCTTTCCATGACTTCGTACGGAGCGAATACAAAACTGAGCCAGATCTGTTACAGCATCAGAGTTGTGAAGAAATATTTGGAATGGGATAGTTTAAAAATGGTATATACTTTGCAAATTTTGAATCCAGAATTAGATAGGGGATAATATTCTATGGTGGGAGCAATTCAATTGAAAAGGTTTTTTTAGTACAAAAAAGAATAATTCGGGTTATGCTCAGTTTGAGTATGAGAGACGTGTAGAGGTGAATTTAGAGAAAATATAATCTTAACTGTGGTCTGTGATAAGCATATACATCTTGGAATGCTTAATTTTATTATTTAAAAATAGAGGTTTATTTTCAAATTTTGAACCAACGAATGCTTATATATTGAGAAATATAAACCTAGTATATCTAATACATAGGCTGACAGCTACAGAACATGGAGCAGGGTACAGCTGTGTAAAGTTGTACAATACACTGCCTGATACAATAAAAATTTTAGCAACTGTTAAAGTATTTTAAAAGGGAAGTACATGAATTGTTAATTAATTTAGAACCATATACAATTAATGAATATTACTCTATGTGATCATTAATATATTTTCCCTGACACTGCATGTTTTGTTTAAGAATTGTCTTACTTATATACAGTATGTCCCTCTAAGTTGGAATCACATGGAAAACTTTTTTATTATTAATTTTAGGAAAAAAAGTTATTCTTCATAAAAAGTTCTGCATTATCTAAAACCTAGAATACAGTCAGCAAATATCAATTTTTTTCAGTAATATACGAGGTTTGTCAAAAAATATGAGTTTCACCCAAGAGTAAAGTACCTTTTATTCTTTATACGACTGATAAAATTTGATATCTGATGGTTGTATTTTAGGTTTTAGACCATGCTCGACTTTTTATACAGAATAACTTTTTTTCCCAATATTAATAATAAAAAAGATTTTCATATGCCGCCAATTTACGTAGACAGTTGGTGGCATAGGAAAGTTTTTTCATTACTAATTTTAGGAAAAAAAGTTGTTCGATTTCAGTGATTCTTTTTTTATTAAAAAGGTGGTACTTCAGGAGTGGTACCATATAAGAAAATGCACCACGTCTGCAACATTGCAGATCTGCAAATATGGCGGACTTACAGATGTAGGATACTTGACTCTCTATAGTATCCTTGCTTGTATGTTGCATATGTAAGTCCACCATTTTAGCAGATCTGCAAAGTTGTAGACGTCGTGCATTTTCTGTAATCTCACCCTTGGTCAACATCTAATAATATTATAAATACTCCCCGAGTGAGATGAGCAATAAAAATGGCTGCGCCCATATCTTGTTCTATTGATACAATATGCACATTGGCTTTCTACCCCACTCCAGTTCATTTGGACTAAGGGCTAATCTGTCAAACAAAATTGAAGGTAACTTGTGAGGGAGTTGACGGCATCTTTTGACATCATGTTTAGGCGCTTATTTAAAAATGCAATCTTTAATTAAGAAAAGTTACAAGAGATTGTCAATTGTAAGAAATTTTTAATTTGAAATAAGTACTCTTTATAAGCTAAAATTTGCAGTTAGAGTCAAGAAATGTTTCTTTTACTTTCCAACTTTGAACCCGTCTGCGGTTTGAATGCCTAAGTTTTCTTTTTTAACTTTAATTAGTAACATATTTAGTAATATTTTGATAATCTATAAGAAAGTTAATGGCGTTTTATTGACCTAGCCTGACATCGTCTGCTCCGAAATAGTGACACCTTCAATGGAAGACGCCTACGATTTCAATTTAGTTAGGATTTTAGGCCATTTTCACAAACCATTTATGTTGGTAATACTTGGATAGTTACAAGAGATTTTTAATTAAAAAAAAAAAAAAATTTAATCTAATAAATACTGGCACTTACGCCCGGCAAATGGATGGTTTTATAAAATTACAACCTAAAGTAGTACCATGTTAATCCAAACATTTGGTAGCTTATGAGGCAATGTTTTTACTTCAGCTCTCGAAGTATTGGGGATGTTAGTACTTTTCTTCTTAAATAACTGTCGGCTATCGTCATCTAATGCAAATCCAAAACATCCTTATCGTCATCGTTCTCGTCTTTTGTTTAGAATCATCGGTTGTCTTCCCTAAATATAGAGGAATAAGCTATTATATCTATGGGAATAACTAATAAGGAAAACACTTGAAAGGAAAAAAGGAGGCACCACACAACTATAGCTATTGTATATTTCTCTTGGATGTTGTGCCCTTTACATTTCAAAAAGTTATTAAATTAAAAGATTCTTAAAAATAAAACTTCTGTTTTTACATTCATTATAGATTTATTTTACATATATTTACTCATACCTTTATTTAATTTGGCACAACTTCATTATATTAAATACAATTTAAATCTACTTAAAACTAATTAAAACTTTTTTAAATATTTACAGTTGCATGTAATTAACAATTGACCCACATTTACAAAAATAATTTTTAGTAGACCCAGTCTTTCGAAATCTAGAATTTTAAATTTATAAATAGTACGAAATTAAAACTATGATAATGCTTATAATTTAGTTTTCCTCTAGTAATTTTCATGATAATATTATTTTTGCAATTGTAAAAATATATATCAGGGGTAATTTTGTCAAGGGATCAATTTAGGTTTACCCTGTAAAAGATTTTTTTCATCCCATATACGAGTACATTACGGTATATTACCAACTAATTTAGATATTAGATGGATAGAAACCTATGGAACTGGTGGAATATATTATAATTTTCTTACTTCAATTTACTATAAATAATAAAAATAATATATTTTATCACACATACTCAAAAGAAGAATGACAATTCAAAAAGAAATATAGGCGGCATTTTAGGCTAATAAGTTAAATAAATTCAAGAGCACAGTCTAGGAATTTTCTAACTATTCCCAATCAAACTATTAGAACTGAATTAGTTACAATTTGTCCATTCGACTTATTTCATATGCATGTTGTGGAACCATCCAAAACAGTATTGTAAACTCAACCATATGTACAGTTAGGTGTAATACTGGTTGCATAATGGTAGATTGTGAAAGGCATAACCACCCCTATAATAGGTGCGTTTTATTCATCCAGTCTCTAGTAGAAAAAGTTTGAACAGAATTTGCAAACGCAATAAAACGATAAAATTGTCATCTGTCAAGAATGTCAAATTTAAAATCATCGTTTGATTTATCCATTATCCCGCCCACAGAAATAGTTAATATTAATTTAAAAATGGAAATATTATTACAGATATTTGGAAGTATTGCAACTTAATAATCATTTGCTATTAGCTGCACCAAGAATTCCAGTTGACATTATTAGATTAATTATCGAGAAGTATGAAGTATAAAATTATTTTGTAACAT